TGTTCTCTTAACTTACTATTCAATGTTTAATGAATTTTAGTCAAAATCTTACTTGCTTTTTAAGTCAAAACAACAGTGCAGACTAAGTCTAGTGCTGTGTATCTCATGTACACTTAGGCCTCCATCTCTGAATACTTGTGTGATGTTAAAACACTGCAGGGCACACAGGCCACTATACCCTAGAGCAACATTTACAGGAAATGCGTCTCGATGACAAATGCCTCGATGTCCCCGAGGGAGTCGCCAGGTATGAGGATGAGCAGGCAGGCAGACAGACAGGTCCGTCTTCATTCTCTACATGCTGCAGAAGTGAGTGAGAGTTCAGGTCGAAAGCAAAGCTTCTGTCCCTCACTTGTTTATATCACTTATTTTTCCTCCTTGGATGCTTCAGATTCAGCTTCACGCAAAAGAAATGTTTCACTGTATTTTTCAACCCATAAAACACTATTGTGCGGAAGCCTTGGCTCACATAAGAACATTGTTATAAACTATTTATCTCAGTAGGAAGTGTGTTTTTGCTCATATAAACAGAAGATAATATTACATAAGCGGTTCCTTGGAGCGATGACACAGGAGAACCTTTTTTGGTTCCCTAAAGCAATGTTTCCCAACCATGGTCATGGAGGCCCTGCACATTTCAGAGTGTTCCCTGCAACCAAATTGCCTGATTTGACTAATTTGGCCCTTACAGCAGGGGTCTCAAGCTCTAATGATATGGGGGTCGTATATTACTATTCTATTAAATCAAGTAAACCAAGCGTAGCAATGGCAAACATTGGCTTGAGGGGTGTGAAGCACGCCGCCACTGGACTCTGGAGAAGTGGAAACATGTTCTCTGGAGTGGATGAATCTGGGTTTGACCAGGAGAACTGGAATGCATAGTGCCAACAGTAAAGTTTGGTGGAGGAGGGATAATGAGCAGGGGCTGTTTTTCAGGGTTTGGACCCCTTAGTTCCAGTAAAGGGTGATGTTAATGCGACAGCACACAATTATATGCTTCCAGCTTTTTTGGGAAGACCCTTTCCAGTTCCAGCAGGACTGAGCCCCTGTGCACAAAGCGAAGGGCATAAAGTTATGATTTGACCAGTATGGTGTGGCCTGCACAGACCCTGACCTCAACCCTACTGAACACCTTTGGAATGAACTAGAACGAAGATTGTGAGCCAGACCCTCTCGTCCAACATCAGTGCCTGACCTCACAAATGCTTTTTAGGCTGATTGGACACTAATTCCCACAGACACTCTCCAAAATCTTGTCATAAGCTTCCCAAAAGAGTGGATGCTGTTATGGCCACAACAGGGGACAACTCCATATCAATGCCCATGGTTTTGGGATAGGATGTCCAGGTGTCCACATACTTTTGGCCATGTAGTCACATTGAGATGTTAGCAGTACAGACTACACCTTAAGATAAGCAGCGATTGCTGCACACATTCATGCACCTTTGAAACATCTAATATGACCGTACAAGCAAATAACTGTTTACTGCACAGATAAATAGCTTAAATATAATTTTCTGTATTTTTCAGTACTGTATGTTTTATTTTGTGCACTCTGTCTGTCTTTCACCTTCATTTATTCTTCTCTGATGGTCGGTGTTGCCTCTATAATCTCTGAACGCCCATCACTGCAGTAGCCATGCGTGTCTAATTTCTTCTTTGTTTACTCAAAGCTGAAGGTTCCTCTGTTTCTCTACCAGCAACATTCCCTTTAAGCTGTGTGTTAAATCTTTAACCACGCTAGTTCCTCTAAATCTCTCTGTCCTGAGGACAAAAGAGCGTTTTTTTTTCCACCGGGTGGTCAGTTGAAAAAGGAACTGCTTTCATGGGACAACAATGGCTTCAATGCTTGCGTGTGTACAGAAGAGTAGACACACTGATAAGATCACCCAAAGATTAACCCGATCGGTGTCAGTTTTTCTAGCCTGTATGTGAGTAGTGACCAATTCACTATGAAAACCTTCAGTTGAAGATTTGAATATACAAACGGGGAGATATAAAGGTCAGATAACCTAAGTAGGTGATCTAAGTTAATGTTCGCATTTGGTGTTAACATCTGTCTTGATGACGTGAGCAGATAGAAGTATAGTATAGTACTGTTTACACCTGGCATCTCAAGTGGACACTTACGACAAGATTTCAATGACGCGCACATTTATGACTCATTTGTTGTCAGACAAAAATGTCCCATGTGGTGCAACCATCTCAACCTGTGCTCACACTGGCAGCGAATTTTCACCTGTTGTCGCCCCGAATTGGTTGTCGACATGGTTTCACTGAAGCCAAGCACAAACCAGACACATTCCTAAAAATAAAACTGCTAGAGACAAGTCTTGTCTGTAAATCAGTCCCTGCATAGCGCATCAATGTCTGTGGTCTTTCACTGTCGTCTATTTGTGCCGACATTACCAAATTTCCTAGCCGCAGTCTCGAACCAAAATTCAGAGCGATTCGTCAGCGTTTTAAAGAGATCTGTGCCAAAGAGTGTTTTCAGGGCATGTGAGTCAATTTTTTCGACATAGTTTTTTTTTCCCAGTGACGCTACAGCCATCTGTGGCTGGAAGTCCAAGAGAGCACAGGTGGCCTCGCTCTGTCTGGGTGGGCAGGATGGCCCCCCGTCTCCCCCATCACTCAGCATGATGCGAACCAGCACAGGCATCTGTTAGCTGACGTAACAGAACTAGCGTTTAGTGTTCTCCTCGGAGCGTGTTCAACTGTCCAATGATGTTGTGTTAGCGGCAGCTTGAAAAGATGCGGTGGTTCGCTTCACGGGTCTCGGAGGAAGCCTGTGTTTGCCTTTGCCCTCCTAGCGCTGGTGGTATCGTGTGATTGGAGGAGTCCTAACTAGTGGTGGAATTGGATACGACTAATTTGACCGGGGGCGCACAAACTTTTGCATTCTACTGTTTGTTCATGCCAGGTTTAAAAGGTTTAAATGAGAACCAAAGAAAAATAAACTAAAATAGATTCTTGATAAGTTTAATGTTTACATTTGGTGTTAACATCTGTCTTGAGTGACATGATCATAAGGGGACAGTTAGAAGTACGGCTGTTTACACCTGGCATCTCCAGTGGTCACTTACGACAAGATTTCAATGATGCACACATTTATACCGTCTGTGGCCGGGAGTCCAAGAGAGCACAGTTTGCCTCGCTCTCTCTGGGTGGGCAGGATGGCCCCGTCTCCCCCAATCACTCCAATGCTGGTGCCGTAACAGAACTGGTGATTAGTGTTCTCCTCCAAGCGCATTTGACTGTCCAGTGAAGTTGTTTTAGCGGCAGTTCGAAAAGATGTGGTGACGCTTCACAGTTCTCAGGGGAAGCCTGTGCTGGCCTTCCCCCTCCTAGCGCTGGTGGTATCGTGTGACTGGGGGAGTCCTAACTAGTGGTGGAATTGTATATGACTAAACTGGGGAGAAAATTGGGAGAAAAATAAAAAACAAAAGTAACAAAAAAAGGTCATTTGACCAGGGGGCACAAACCTTTGCATTCTACTGTTCGTTCATGCCAGGTTTGAATGGGTTTAAATGAGAACCATAGAAAAATAAACTGAAGTAGATTCTTGATATGTTTAATTGTTTGTTTCTTACAGTAATCTTTAATCTTTAATGACAAATATTATAAAAAAATTAAATCGCTGAATTTGAGACAAACAGAAGATAAAAGGAACAAAACAGGACGTTTCATGAACAATGTACCCACAATAAATCATACAGCTATTGTGTCTTTAAATGTGACATTGAATTCGACTGCCATGCATGCAGTACTATATAACAAATTAAAAAAGATGGATAGAAGCAGAAAATTTCCACTAACTTTTAGTAATAAATGCTTTTTATTGCTCTTGTTTTGTATCTGAACTAAGATGACTTTTTGGTATTTATTCTGACTCGTCCAGGTGCCTCACCTTGCAAAGGTGGGGATGAAAAATGTTCTGGCGAAGTGCCAGGTTTCAGTTTTGCCTTTGTTATGATACATTTTAATGGTATTAAAAGCACTTAAGTGTTGGTGTCATTCACGCAGGCTTATTTCATTCACATTCAGAACGTACTACTTTCAAGCCTATTTTATTGACAGTAAAAGATGCTACTGCAAAGATGATAGACTTTCCTGAATGAGTGTCAGCTCCATGTAGCAAAAATAGAATATATATAATATTTGTCTGTTCATGTCTAAACCACTTTAGACAGTCTCTCTTCCGTGCTCGCCGTGGAACTACTGATGGCCAGACTGATACAGCAGCCTGAGGTTTAAACTGATTTCCTCAGCAGGGTTTGTACGAAAGTTCATGTGGTTTAAAGGGCCCATGTCCTATATCTGTTTTGTACTTTGCCTTTTTTCTTGTGCTTAGACTAAGTATTATTAAAAATTAAACAATTACACTAATTAAACAATAAACCTCTCTCTTTAATTGATATTTTAAGTTTAATGTGTTTTGTGTGTGATGTGTTGTAATCCATAGTGAGTGTTATACTAATGATAATGAGAATGAGAATAATAATACATCTAGTGTTTTAATCCATACGGAGTGTTAGAATAATAATGAGAATAGTGAGCTTTTTAAAATTAATATGGCTGGTCTTTTAATCCACAGTGACTGTTCTAATAATAATGAGAATGAAAATAATAATATATCCAGTATTTCAATCCACAGTGACTGTTCTAATAATAATGAGAATGAAAATAATAATATATCCAGTATTTCAATCCACAGTGACTGTTCTAATAATAATGAGAATGAAAATAATAATATATCCAGTATTTCAATCCACAGTGACTGTTCTAATAATAATGAGAATGAAAATAATAATATAGCCGGTATTTTAATCCAGAGTTAATGTTATCATAATAATGAGAATGAAAATAATAATATAGCTGGTCTTTTAACCCACAGTGACTGTTCTAATAATAATGAGAATGAAAATAATAATATAGCCGGTATTTTAATCCTCAGTGAGTGAGTTAGTAACCGCGGAACCATCGTTTTCAACCTTGCGGGGTTTATCGGTTTGTTTTGAGAGGTGCGCGCTCGCAGCCTCCGCCGCTGTTTGAGCATGCTAACGTTGCTAATGTAAAAATTAAACAAATGCCAAACATTTCCGAGATTTTCTCCACCCTGCAGTGCTGAAATCATGGCAATTCCAATGGAAAGTCAGCTTCAGAGCATATTCGAGGATGTAGTGGTACGTGGTTGTGTGTTTGTAGCTAACGCTAAGTGTTGAACTGAATGCTAACAGAATTAGCAGCTCCTGCGAATAAAGTCTCATTTTTTCACGCGATAATAATCGGAAAATCACTGGATTTCAAAGCTGAGTCCGGTTAATTGTTAAGTATGATCGTTAAACCCGGTTTTTGTGTTTATTCAATCAAAGGCAGAGCCCGTTCACGAAGCTGAAGCTAGCTTCTTATTCGAATTGTCCGTTCCACCTTAAATGGTGCATCAACGTAACTGCTGCACAGTTTAAGGTGGAACAGTAAAACAAGCTAGCTTACGAAGCTGAAGCTGGGTTCCTATTCGTTCCACCTTAAATGGTGCAGCAGTTACATTCTGGCACCTGCTGCACCATTTAAGGTGGAACGGAAAATTCGGATAGGAAGCCAAATTTAGCTTCGTAGCCTGTGCTTTTGTTCGTTTTCACATAATGTTGTTGCAAACTAGCTCAGAAATACAGCTCAGTGGTCTGTATAATACAGTACTGCCGTGCGTGCTGTGGTGTTTCCCTGCTTTGTATGCATATAACGTACATCAGCCATAACATTATGACCACCTCCTCGTTTCTACACTCACTATCCATTTTATAAGCCCCACTGACCGTATAGGAGCACTTTGTAGTTCTACAGTTACAGACTGTAGTCCATCTGTTTCTCTGATACTTTGTTACCCTGTTCTTCAGTGGTCAGGACCCCCATGGACCCTCACAGAGCAGGTACTATTTGGGTGGTGGATCATTCTCAGCACTGCAGTGACACTGACGTGGTGGTGGTGTGTTAGTGTGTGTTGCGCTGGTCTGAGTGGATCAGACACAGCAGTGCTGCTGGAGTTTTTAAAGACTGTGTCCACTTACTGTCCACTCTATTAGACACTCCTACCTTGTCCGGCCACCTTGTAGATGAAAAGTCAGGGACGATAGCACATCTGCTGCTGCACAGTTTGTGTTGGTCATCCTCTAGTCCTTCATCAGTGGTCACAGGACGCTGCCCACAGGACGCTGTTGGCTGGATATTTTTGGTTGGTGGACTATTCTCAGTCCAGCAGTGACACTGCGGTGTTTAAAAACTCCAGCAGCACTGCTGTGTCTGATCCACTCGCACCAGCGCAACACACACTAACACACCACCACCACACCACCACCACGTCAGTGTTACTGCAGTGCTGAGAATGATCCACCACCTATATAATACCTGCTCTGTGAGGGTCCATGGGGGTCCTGACCACTGAAGAACAGGATAACAGAGTACACAGAGAAACAGATGGACTACAGTCTGTAACTGTAGAGCTACAGAGTGAAACTATATGGTCAGTGGAGCTGATAAAATGGACAGTGAGTGTAAATACAAGGAGGTTTCTGATATAGAGGCCAACTTATGGTCTTGCTGCTTGATCACCTTTTTATTATCACCATTGTGCAGATATGTGTTTAATTTTAGTTCACTAATTGTACTTATCTTTCTTTTTTCTGGAACAGAAAACAGAAGTCATTGAGGAGGCTTTTGCTGGGTAAGTTGTGATGAACCTGATAAAGCTGAACACCTTCCAGCAGGTCCTGATTTTAGCCTACTGACAATGAAACTATTGCGTGAAAGTTATTATGTAAACAAGGTGTGAACGTTTTTGCCTGTGTCTGAAAAGCTTGCCAGAAATATGTATTCCACAGATGTTTTTGGCTGCGTTCACATTACCAGGTTGAAGTGGCACAAATCCGATTTTTTGCCCTAATGTGACTCAGATCTGATGTTTTCAGAGCTGTGTGGACACGCAAATCTGACCCTTTCAAATCCGACCTGAGTCACTTTCATGTGTGGTCCTAGATCGGATACGTATCTGATTCGTGGTCATGTGACCTTAATGTGATGCTCAGATCGGAATTCACGTGCCTCTGTTCCACTGCGCATGTGCCATCATTCAGCGTTACCATGGCAGCAGCGCCGAACAGAAGTTAAAGCCTGTAAACGGTGGAAAAGCAGCTCATCTCACCTTTTTCTCCTTCGTCTCGCTCTAATAATGAAGCTGAGAACTGATCAGAGTTAATTATCTTCACTCGTTCTGCTCGTTAGTTTGTTTGCCGATGATGCGTGTGATGCACGCGTTTCGTTCACGTGACTAAGTAGGATGTGCGCATGAGGGTCATTTCAGGACGCTGGTTCGTTCACACTAATGACAGATATGAGTCACTTACCTAAACAAGTGTGAACCATCGTGTCAGAGAGATCGGATTTGAGCAAAAAATCGGATTTGAGCAATGAGGCTTGTAATGTGGAGGTAGCTTTTGTCAAGTGATCCTCTGAGCTTCATGTGGATGTTCTGTGGTTGTCTCTAAAACTGCAGGATGTTCATGGACACCCCTGAAGATGAGAGGACCAAACTGATCAGCTGTTTAGGGGCCTTCAGGCAGTACTGGAGCACACTTCCTCAGGTTTGTGTCGATGTAGACTAGGCTTTGAGACTTTTTGGAAACAGAACTCACTTTTATTCACTTTTGAGATTGGCACACCAGCCAGAATATCGGTTGGAGCGTTTGTGGTGAGTGGTGTTACTGTTTCTTTCTGCAGGAGTCCCACGAGCAGTGTGTGCAGTGGATCGTGAGGTTCATTCACAGCCAGCACAGCCCCAAACGCGTCTCCTTCCTCTATGACTGCCTGGCCATGGCTGTGGAGACCAGCCTGCTGCCACCAAGGTACTTACACATATACACGATTGGTTACAGGAGAGTATTACAACCATACATGGGGCTATGGCTGTCACAGTTCACAAATTTCTGGATATGTTATGCCTTCAGATTCCGACATTCCGATAAATTTTCATTACAGAACGGGGGGTAAATAAGCAGTGTAGATGTGAATCTTGCCTAAAGTACATTTGCTAAGGCGGCAGTGTCTAGTGAACGCATAATTAATGCAAAAACAAAAGTCATTTTCAACCTTGTACATTTAAATACCCACACACAGTAATTCTTGTCACTACGTGTAATATAAACAATATTTAGTTATTCTAAAGTTTGCAGACAAGTTGTAATGGGGAGCAAATGCATCAGCAAAACAGTAGTGATGCATTAATCCAAGTTCAGTACTTTGTTGCCGTGTCAGTCGGTACTTGACTGAGAGGAATTTATTTTGGTGCTGCTCAAACACAAACAATATACACTCATAAACAAAACATACACAATCTCAAAAAAAGTAATTGACATAAAATAAGGTTAGATTGTGGAGTGGAGCTTAAAAGTCTGATCGCGGAAGAATAGGTAGTGTTACTAAACCAACATGTTCTGTGTAAAATGCTTTGAAACCTTTTGCCAGAAAAGGTAAAAAGGTACTGTGGTGGTAATTTATGAAAAACAAGTATATAAAGTATATAAAATAATTAGCATTAATAAAAGTTACATTTTTAAGAAAAATCAGGAGGATCAAATTGTTAAAAATTAATGAATAAAATAAGATGATGGCATAATGGGCATCTAGAACTGCATAAACTGCATAACTGATTGGGTGTCAATCTAATACTACACCATAACTTTACTGTACACTGTTCGTTCTCTAAATTATCCTCTTTATGGTACGTGCAGTTATTCACTGTTCTAGAAGTATGGACAGCAGCCATGATGTACTCAGAAAAGCCTGTTGTGACATACTTTATCATGATAACAATAATATAGAACCTACAATTTTTAACATAGTAACAGTGCAATATAAAGTAAGGTCTCACTTTATTTGGATAGTCCACTATAGTTCCCTATAGATTTTCTACAGATGTTAAAAATGTTAACGAATTATCTGTTGAAACTCAGTTGATTCTAAACAGTGGTGGGTTTAGGGTTAGGATTTGAACCAGGGTGGGGGTTGAGGTTAGGGTTAGGATTAGATCCAGGTTTAGAGTTAAAATTAAGGTCAATTTAGTTGAATCTATCTTGAAAGTAAAGTGAGTATCTACAAAGCATCTAAAGTGGACTGTCCAAATAAAATGTTCCTAGTTATGGAATAAAAGCTTGGTTTTGTTTGCCATGTTTCTCTGACAGCCGGAAACCACTGAAGTTAGTTATGAAGGCTAATGTGTTGTTATTTTCCATTATTGGTGTCAGTTATTTGTATTTGTGTATCACTGTATTTGGTTGTTATATCCACTTACTTCATTTCATTGGTGTTTTGCAGAGTTTTGTGTCTTTAATATGTGATTATTTCACTGTTCTGTGAATGTGTGTGTAGGATGGTGTGCCAGGCACTGATCAACTCTGAAACTCTGGAGTGGGAACGGACCCAGCTCTGGGCTCTGACCTTCAAACTGGTCCGTAAAATCATCGGTGGAGTTGATTATAAGGTACAGTGGAAGCTGAACTTCTAGTGGGGAAATTCTAATACTCTTCTTCTCTTGGTACTTAGTTTGAATCGAGTTACACTGCAAATGGAGCTACATCTGTTACCCATAGCTCAGTGAATTAGAGATTATATAAAAAGCTTTTTATATTAAATGGTTCAAACTGTCTGGAACATCACATTAATGATTGTCTCATCCAGTCATTTACAAAACAATTTGTGTTTGCATTTGTTAATCCATTAACTACAGTGTTGTTTTGAAGTATTTTAACGTATTATTCTCTGTGTTGGCCAAAACATGTACTTTGACAGCTTGAAGTTAAAAACTATTAGTTTAAAATTAATAAAATTGAGTAACATTTCTTGGGCAGAGACCTAAAATCTCCTAGCTAACTAACCCTTATTTGCTGTGGCAGGCTGCGAGAGACTTGCTGAAGGCCGTTCTGGATAAGATTCAAACCATCCCCAGCCTGGTCAGCTCGGCTGTGGTGCACCAGCTCCTGCCGGCGAGAGAGGTACAGTTGACCCCAATGTGACAGCCCCAAGCTGATTTGTTCTGTTGCTGTTTTATGCTCACAGTGCACTGTAGGCAAGCTAAAGTATAATTATTTTAGCCTAATGCAGAAATATGAATCATTTTTATATTTTTAGTGTTGAAAGCTTCCGTAGGGCAGTTTTGGTACGTTGTATGTGTGCTAGCCTAACCAAATATGCCGAAAATGGGGTCTCAAGGATTCGGACTGGGAGTTGCTGCGTTATTACTAATGATGTGTGTTATTGGTCATGCTGAAGGTGGTGGAGTACATCCTGGACAGGAACGCGTGTCTCCTGCCTGCTTATTTTGCTGTGAATGAAATCCGGAAGCTCTACCCTGAGGGGCAGCTCTCACACTGGGTACGGTACTCGCACAGTGTTTACAAGCACACAGAGTCACACAGTGAGAGTTTGTATATACATACAGATAGTAGTGTTTGGGGGGGTGGGGGAGGGGGCGGTGAAGAATTGAGTATATATTTTTATCTTTAGTATTATATGTATTGTCTATATGGTAGTAGGTAACAAGCTGTGCCCTTGTTAAGTAATTAATAAGGTTAATACCTTTTACTTTTAGCTCGTTTGTTAATTTTCTTCTTGATAGTTCTATTTTCTTGCCTTGCTATGCAACTCGGATAACCGGATTCTGCCCTCATTAGTAGGCTGAGAAGGTCACTAACTGGCTATCAGGCTATAATAGTAAAAGACAGACCTCAGGTTCAAGCTGTTGAATAAGGTGTTATTAAAAAACTGAAATATGCAAAGTAAAGAAAGTTAGCTAGAGTGAGCTAAAAATATCCCTACTTACACTAGAGCTGAAAAAATCTCAAATAGAACTAAAACTGCTAGCTTGATGCTAACATAGCTATTTACCCTGGTGAAAATAGGAGTGTTATTAAAACACTGGTTTAAGAACAGATTTCTGCGATTCTTTATGAATTTTTGCCTGACTCTCAGTGTAAACACACGATGTTTAAATGAAATTGCATATATCAGGACACAAGCATTCCAGCCTATAAATATAGATATTATTTATATTTTTATTTATTCCCACATTTCTATCATGTTAGGGTGTTCTGAGCGTTTAATGTTCATGATTTACAAGAAATTTTGCCCATAAGAATAATATGGATTGAATCATGCACTTGTGCGCCACTACTACTACTACTAATAATAATAATAATGTTTGTTTATATAGCACCTTCCGTACATTAGAAATGCAGCTCAAAGTGCTTCACAGTACAAAGTAAAAACAACGGAGGAAGAAAAGATGATCAAAAATAAAAACAAAATATAAGAAACAATAAATAGAAGAAAATGGATATATTAATAAATGCAGATAAAAGTGTAAATAAAAAGAAAGACAATAAAAAAACAAGAACACCTAACAAGAACATGAGTAATAGTAATATTCCAGTAAAAACAAAGGAAACAATAAAAAACTAGTTAAACGCTAAAGTAAAGTTTCATACGTGAAATATGGAGCAGGCTCGCACTGGATGATCTAAAAGCTCGATTAGGAACATAATATATCAGCAATATATCAGAAATGTATGAAGGTGCTGAACCATTAAGAGATTTAAAAACTAGTAGTAAAATTTTATAGTCAATTCTAAACGAGACGGGCAGCCAGTGCAGTGATGCTGAAACTGCTCTAATATGATCCTGTTTTCTAGTCTGTGTTAATATTCTTGCTGCTGCATTTTGCACAAGTTGTAGTTTGTTGGTTGTACTTGCAGGAAGTCCTATGAACAAAGCATTACAGTAGTCAGGTCGAGAAAACACAAACGCATGGATCAATTTCTGAGCATCTTGCAGACAGAGACGAGGTTGAACTTGTGCTATATTGCTTACATGATAGAAAGGAACACACACATCAGTCCATATTCATTCTCCATAGATACACACACCCTCTCTAAGCCTGAGTATAAGCCTGCTTTCACAGAGAAATTACCGCTGTCTCGTTGGAAATAGTTCTACCGAAAAACGATTGTTTTAAATTCTGTTTTTGTCTCTCGTTTTCCCCTCAGCTTTTGGGCAGCCTAATATCAGACTTTGTGGACAGTTTCCGTCCCACCGCGAGGATGAACTCCATCTGTGGTGAGACTAACATCTATCTCATGATAATTCCCCCTTTATTACCAAGATATTTATGACCTGACAAAAGCAAACAAGATAAAAAAAATAGCTCAGTTCACTTTCCAGGAAGCCCTAGTTGCTCAGCATATGAACAGTATATGATTAGATAATGCGTTGTCCAAGTATCAGAGCATCAGCTTATGTAATAAAAAGCCTCTGTTTGTACAAACCATGACACAAGGGCTTTAATTGTCTCTTTGAAAAGGTCAGAACGAGACAGAAAGCCCTGTTTTGAACGGGCAAAGGTTGAGTTGCATATTCGTGTATTTGTCTGTGTGCGTGAATTCAGAGGGGTCAGACAACTTGTATATCTGTGCCTGGGTCTGTGTGGGTGTTTGAATGAATCAGGCTTCAGTTGATGGTAATATCTGTGTGACTAATGTCTCCCGTGTGTGTTCGTTAGGCCGCTGCAGTCTCCTCCCTGTGGTGAACAACTCTGGAGCGATCTGTAACTCTTGGAAGCTGGATCCTTCCACTCTGCGCTTCCCTCTGAGAGGCATGCTGCCTTACGATAAGGTGAAATCCTCCTTCATATGTTGCCACTTGCTTTTCCTTTCAGTCCCTCGAAGAGTTTTATTCAGCAGCACTAAAGATGCCACTCTTTCTCTTCCGAAATTGATTCTGATATCTGAATTCAGATTGTCGGCTGATAATGTACCGATACTGGTGTCCTTTTAACCCTTTACGTTTCAGTTCTACACTCTGAAATTGATAAAATTATTGGCATTTAGTTTTTGTGGTAGCAAAGTAATATATACTGTTAAACACTAATAGTTAGTACAGTAGTACTTAGTAGTGCTTAGTAGTTACCCTCAGCCGCCACTGCATCGGTTGGCAACCCAAATGTTAAGAAGAGCCATTTTGACCTTTCAACAAAAATCAAGCCACATTTTATGTCCATTTTATTAAAGTAACATTTTACCATCATGGCTGTAAATATGTCTCAGCATGTGCTGATGTTCTAGTATAGGCTAAAAAATATAAACGAAAACACAGACTTACTTTGCTCTGCTTTAAGCTTTAGCTCAGCTGTAGCTGCCTTTCTCACGTCTCCAGCAGGAAACTTTTCCGCAAAAGTAGAACAGTTTCTTGTAAAATGTCTCTGTGCTCAATCTTTTATGAGGCTGAAGTCGCTTCTCATTCACCAGCATCTCATTCGAATGTTCCCGTTCCTCCTTAAATGGTGCCTGAGGTGGCAGAATGTAGGCCTAACTGCTGCACCATTTAAGGTGGAACGTGAAAATTCGAATGAGAAGCTGGCGAATGAGAAACTTCAGCTTTGTGACTTTTTAGTGTTTCAGTTTCTCATTGCAGATTAATCGTATCAGGAAACCAGTTGGAGTGATTATAAACACTAATAAGTCCATTCGTCTCCAAATTATCGATGTTCATCTTAAATCTCTCTCTTTGCTGTTTCGTTAGCTACTAGCTAGGCGAGACTGTTGTCTGTGTTGCTATGGTGACCAGCAGTCTGCGCTGATCTTCAGGGTTGAAGGGTGAATCAGCAGTTCTACATTAACTCCAGAGTTTAAGACCATTTATTGTTAAACTGTGTTGAACGATCAGCAGAGCTTTATTTTACTGTAAAGGAGGATTATTTTATTTTTACCTACTAATCTGATTCAGCTGTGGAGCAACAGGACAGTAAAAGAGCCGCATGTTGCCGAGCTCTGGTCTGTTACAGTGAACCCACCCATGGGCTAAACTGTAACACTGCACTTCCCATTATTTTGGGTGGAATTGTACATGAACAGTTGGTGCTTGAAACAAAGTTGAAGTGTTCGTTTGTAGCAGAGATGTATATGTTGCTTGTATAAAAATATGATTATTCCAACTTAAATATTTTTTAAATTATTCAACAAAAACCGAATGTGTCTTGTCGTGCCCCGCTCTCCCCTAGTTGCCCTACAGTAACTGCGAATTTTGAAACTGGCCTAATTTGGTTGACCAAATTTTGCAGTGGTGTGCTGACACAGTTCAGGACTTAAAGTTCACATTTTTCCCATCTACAGGACCTGTTTGAGCCCCAGACGGGGTTGCTAAGATACGTGTTGGAGCAGCCTTACTCCAGAGACATGGTCTGCAACATGCTCGGCCTCAACAAACAGGTACCCCTCTCTCCCTGCCTTCCTTCGTCCCTCTCTACTTTCTCTCTCTCCCTCTCTCTCTTATCTTTCTCTTCATCTCTCTCACTCCCTTTCCATCTCCCTCCCTCTCTCCCTCTCTCTCTCTCGTTCTCTCTCTCTCAGTCTCTCAGTCTCTCTCGTTCTCTATGTTCCTGTGCCTCTGTCTTTCTGTCTCTCTGACCCGCTCGTTTCCCTTCCTTCTCTCCCTCTCCTCTGTTCTGTGGGTCTTCCTTAGTTTAAAGCAGATGCTGTGGAGAGGGAGAGAAAGAGAGAAGATGAAAAGAAAGAGAGACAGAACGCAGCAGCCCTTTTTTAGTCGGTGGGTTTGGTGTCAGACCCCACTGAAGTAGGCGATTGCAGTGTTTTAAGTGAATGACAGTGATTTTTTTGCATTGCTTGGTTTTCTGCAAGGCCAGCCTCCAGTATACTCCCTGCCACGCCAGCGCACTTCCGAACTTGCCGCCTTTTGCTTGGCTGTGCTAAACTCTCTCTCTCTCTCTCCGGGTGGGGGTGGGCGGGGCCTTTAGCTGTCTTGTCTGTCCTTTTTTTTTTCGGCCAACGGCATGCTCTTCTGCTCTGCTGTCTCAGGGAGTATAGCCCCGCCTGTCTCTCTGATACATGTCTGTTTGGGGGGGGGGGTGTGGTTTGGCTTGACTGACGGGGGTACTTGGAGCTGGCCTCCTAGTCACTGTTATTTGTCTTCTTTTTTTTCTTCCTTTATTTTTGTTCTGTCCTGTCTTACCCCGCCCACCTTGCGCCAATGCTCTAGACCCTGAACATTGCTCAGGTATGTTCATAAATCTTACTGTTGTATTGTGACTAACCAGACTCTATGGAAGCTTCTCCATAGTCGAGACTGATTTCATCTAATTTACGACAAGACACACATACACGCACACATGTAAGCACATTTACAGCCACGAGTGCATTCATACATACATACATACATACAGAAAAAGGAATAAACATACAAACACAGACCTTGAAATTCCTGCTGCTCCTAAATCCAGACTTCCAAGAACAGTCTTTAGACCTTTAGACCGCTTTATTTTGATCCCTCTGCTTTAGAGAAACCAAGCCACTAATTTTAAACGTTTAATTCCTCATTCTAGTTGTTAGCTGTTGAATCAGACCTGGTTTGCTGTATTTCTTTCCCCTCCCAAAAGTGCGAAAGATCGTTCAGTGAAGTCCAGTCCTCAATCCTGATGATCACAAGTGAGGCAAATGGCAAATTAAAGTATTTCCTTTAAACAGAATCAGTAGCTGTTTCTTGCATAGTACTGTTCATAAGCAGGTTATTAAGCTGTGCTGAAACATTACTGAGCCTTATTGTTGAGAGGGAACTTTAACATAAGTTTAACTCAAAGTTTTAAGTCAGCAATCCAAATAACAGAGAGCAAAGACATCTCTGAGATGGTTGTCCTCTCGGATTGACTGTGATGTCTGCTCTAAATCTAAGGCTTTTTCACACAGCAGGTAAAAGTGGCCCAAATCCCATCTCTTTCCTCATATGTGACACAGATGTGTGTCTGTGTGTCAGTGTGAACAGATAAACACACTGAATCTGACATTTTCAATTCCGATTTGAGACGCTTTCGCATGTGGCACTGAAATCCGAAACGTATCCGATCTGCAGCAATGCGCCAGATTGGAATTCATGCAACTTTTACACCAATCCAACTCAACATTCGTCATGATTTCGCACTGCTGAGACCTCATAAACGTTTAGGCTGATGTTTCTGTACCAAAATTAGAAGAGACTCATCCAAAACCCTCCGTGTTTGAAGAGATTTCTAAAGAAATGTCCGAACGCGGCCGCAGGAGAACGAGGCTGCAGCGTCTAAGAACAGCTAAAAGTCTGAAAGCAAAGTTTAAAGAATCCGAGGACGCGAACCAAAGAAGTGACCGCGCCCTTTTTACGGCTCGAACACATTCTGGGTGACGAGCCCAGCTGTCAGTCAGTGAAGCTTCATGATGGCTCCTGTGATGCTGGTGAAGATGAAGCTGATCCTCTGGGAGCGACTGGCGTTCGTTGGCGGTCGTGATTGTTTACCTCTGGATGAGCCGTGAAGCAGCGTGACGCTCTGTTCTTTTGTGCATGTGGGTCAGTTTAGGAGCTGATCTGTTCAGACTGATGTCTCATACAGATCACATTTAAAAGATAATCTGAACAGACAAACAAGAAATCAGATTTGGTGAGAAAATCAGATTTGGGCCACTTTTACCTGCTGTGTGATCGTAGCTGAAAACTCCCTGCAGGTTTTGCCACATGTGAAGTATAAAAAGCTCCATTCCTGCAGTGACCATATCATTCCACAGTTCCCTTATTTCCTTTTCTGCTGCGTAAATGATAAGGCTTGATAGCTGATTAACAACTCTATTGGAAGCTGTTTGCCAGAATTAGGTGTATAAGTGCGGAGATGCTTCAGCACTGGGACTAGCTTTGCCATGATACTGGCTCATATCGATGAACAGCGACAAAAATCTAACATTATATGACCTAAGAACATTTAGTTTTCCACATTTGATAAGTTGTAAGAGGGACAGTGCATTAGTAGTGCCACTTTTAAGTGTTTATGAGTGCTACAAATATCATTATTTTTAATTATACTTTATTTTGATAGCACTATTGAAATCTAACTATGGGGGGATTCATAACGCATGCATAAAGCATTGAATAACATATTTAAAAGCAGCATTTGAACAGCTGATGTCGCTATTCAAGGAAAAGACGTTGGATTGACTATATTTTGAACTCTGCCTCAGTTCTATTAGTAACGATGCTTCTTAGAAGTGGAACAAATGTTGGTCACTTTAGTTTAAGGCCCTTATGTGACCTTATCTAATTTATCACGATGTTGACGTTATATCGTCATATCTGACACCTGTATCCACAAGAAACCCTCAGCTGTCAGGCCCTCTGTGTGCTTATGAGGCAATAAATGATGTTGAGAATGAAGATAGTTTTAAGTTCGAGCCCTGATCTGCAGTGCATGTCAGACTGTGATCAGATAAACAGTAAACACTGTAAACAGATCCTCTCAGATCAGACCCAGGCTGAACCCGTGTCCTGTGTTAAATGCAGTTCCAGTCATCTGACAACATTCACTCCACTGTTCCCAGCACAGTTATTGCATCCTCTTTTGGCTGATGAGGATGAGTTGTTGACCTTATTTGGATTCCATAGGCGTCCAGAAGGAGTTTCTGTATTTTCTTTGCCTGATATGTAAATTTGAAATATGTTTGTAAAAGCTAACTCGATGGTTTGGCAAAAGCAAATCTAAGTTACAATTTACAATTTAAAAAATAATTTTTTGATTTCAAAAATGTAGTTTATCAGCAAAGAGATGTTTGGGGTCTGAAGTTTGCTTTTTTGGCATTGGCACTATGAAGCTAATGTTTTTCACATGAAAGATGACGGGTATAAACTTGAATTACATATTAGATTAGAGCTGGGTGATATAATATTGTGACTGCCAGGAATTTTTGCGATATACAATATTCAAAATAATTATTTTTTCAGAAATCTGATCAGTTGGAACAGAGAGAAAAAAGCCAGCAGTGCTACATTTAAAAAAAAATACTATCAAAAACTGATTTTTATTCAATATTTGATGCTAAATCCAGTTAAACAGGATTAATTTTGCACTTTTATAGTAAAACATGCAGCTGGCTGGTTTTCAACAAGTACTGACGATTTTCACAATATGAAAAGCATATTGTACTTTATTGTGAGAGAATTGATCATGATAAATACAGAGTGATTCACAAAGATTCAAATTGATTTATTTCACTTGTAAATCATTACAGATCAGTGCAGTAAACTGTAAATGGTCTAAATGAGCATAAAGTTTATTATGTAATTGTACAGGGTCTCAGTATGAACCTCCTCCAGCTGTACAGACAACATCAACACCATAGTCAAACTCATCCCATACTGGATTGAGCGTGTCGGGTGTCGCTGCACTCACGGCTCTTTCAGTGCGATTTCGGAGATCATCCAGTGTTGTGGAACCAACGACGAACGCTCTGAGCTGTTGGAGCTTCACTGCTGACGTAAATCACACTGCACAGTTATGACGGATTCACTCTTATTGAAGTGGAGAACGCAGAACGCTTTCTGCTCAGGGGTCTCAACTCCTCTCAGACTGAAGGGAGCCATCTTCCACCGACACTCAGAAACTCTATGACCCCCTTTTTCAATTGGATTGTGATTGGTTCCTAGGCGCCTCACGGTCGTAAAAATATGGCGCTTTGAAGTCGGATCAATCTTTTTGAATCTCCCTGTATTTTGTAAATATATATAGGTTGTAGATGTATCGTCATATTTCCCAGGCCTGTCTTAGCTACATTAACCCTGTAGCTGCACATCAAAACAAAAGAAACAAACTCGAGTCACCAAATAGGTCTTGGCTGATTTAACTACGTTTAGGGTGGGGGTGGGGGCTGTGTTAATTTGATTGATTGCAGAATTATCACTTTAACGATAGCGAGCAGTTTAGCTTTCCGCACATCAGCAGCTCAAAATCACTTGGTCAGTCTGGTCGAACAAACCCTGCAAAACAATCCGACATATCAAAACACTGTTCAGATACAAACACCAGTGCTTTTACCCCACAGACATATCAGTTTACCTTCCACCCCAGCCAGTGCCCGAAAATGTCAGTGCAACAAATCCCCTGCATGCCACCTCAGAGGGGAAGCTGCAGTGTATCTGGGGAGACAGGAGGGAGCGCCCTACACCGGGGCAGAGGTTTTAGAGATGATTTTTATATTTATTTATATTCATTTATTTCTTTTTTTGAACTGGCTTTCAGAGCGTACTGGTTCCACTTTATTATATTGGTCCTTTGTAGCTCATCTAAACTACATTATTAACTAACTATGATGTTCAGCAGCTCTAATGTCATGTTTTAAGATTATAAGTTTTAAGTTATTGCTGTTTGACAGCAAAATCATTTTGTAATTGTATAAGAATTATTCCACTCGTAGCTCATTGAAGCAGGCAAGAAATTGGGTGGAAAATGTGGACGCCTGAACTTTTAATCAATGCTGTGTTTTTAAGTAAAGATATAACATTATGACTTAAATCTGATAGTCGCCGTTGTTCGTACTCTTGTTTTTAAACGTAATTTATTATGCATCCAGCTGTGTAATTATTATGTAATAGTGTAATTATTTTTAAATAGTATAGCACAACAGTTGTATGGGTTTAGGTTGGGATAAGAGTGAGTGTTAGGGAGCCACTTTCCTTATTAAGGTGAATTTAGCTGGTAGATTTAGATATTTAATTGAATAAAATCAAGTGGACCATCAAAATAAAGTGTTACCGCAGCATTAAACCAAATTATGTCGTCAGTGGGGTTATTAATCAGCCAAATCACTTCGGTGTAGCTAAATCGGCATCTGAAATAATCATGGTTGGTTTAAATCTCCATGTTGTCATGTATAATGTTTAGCACAAGGGGGCAGCGCTTCCCTGAGAAACACGTCTGCCCATTCAGCCCCACCATTTTGTGTTTAAACCTGAGAACTTTGCGATGGAACCAGTGGGCCAGTGTTCTCTCAAGCACAGGGAGTGAACAGATTGAGCGATATGTTGCAGCTTTCCCTGCAGTCAGGGCTTCTGTGTGCGCCTGTGCAGTTGTCGTGCCCTGTTCTTGTCTGTGTGTGTGTGTGTGTGTGTGTGTGTGTGTGTGTGTCTGTGAGTGCTATGAACACTTTTGCACTTTCATGTTTCATGTGTGGCTGTGCTGTGGCTGTATTTTCCGAGCTGTGGTTGCTGTTAGATGGCTTGTAAGGTATTGATTTCCTGTGAGAAAGTGAGGTTTATGCATATGGCCCAAAAGCCAGTGGTTTCCTGTATCTTAAAGCGATGGTTCTGCCAAAAATCAAATTTCCAGAGCCCCACCCACCACAAATGTAGTCAATCAACCAAGACGTGTTTTGTTATCTGACGTTTGCTTCGTTAGTTTTGCACTGAAGCTGTGAGGCGAATGATATAACGAATAATAAGCTTGTTTACATTGATTAGCATGAAAAATGCATGCTTAAATCTTCACACATTGGCCTCAGACTAGGGCTGGGCAATAAAACGATAACGATCATTATCGCGATATAACTTTCCTTGATAGAAATATAAGAAATGTTCGATAAATGTTCGATATGATACACCATTCTCACACTTCCACGTTCTAGTGACAGCCCTGGTGGCGTTTTCTACTGCAAGGAAAGCGACACTACTCTGCTGTCACCACAAGAGGGCGCACTTCCGAGTTTTTCAACATGATTAGAGAGGGTGTATACTTTAGCAGCGTCTGAAACGTGGAGTTATACACTCCCTGTTTGAGTGGAGCGACCGGCGAGTGTGAGTGACGAGGTCAGTGGTGTAACTATACTGTCCTACAGCGAACTCACCTCTTTCCTAACATCCTAACCAGCTTTAGCAGCGTTAAATCACGTCTGCTCCTCACAACTACAGCACTGTTACAGCGCTCAGTCATGTTTTAGTATTAGTGCATTCCCAAGAAACAAAAGTGAAACAAAGATCGCTGCACTGATTTAAATGATGGTAAACTGAGGATGCTGTATGTGCAGCGCTCTGTCACTCGTACAGCACGGCGAATTGATGCTGCTGTAGATCAAACAAGACAAAAAAGCAGTTTTCAGTTTAAACTTAGCTAAAAGGAGGACTCTGTTTGTCTGGTGTGAGAGATTCACACTGCAGTTAATGCTTTTACACAGCGAGCGTCAGATATACTGCAGTTCACCCCTCAAACTACTACGATAGAATAGAGAAACCCAGTCGTCGCTAGCTGGTGTCTGAATACTGTGATAGGCTCTGACAGGGATGTGGTAGGAGTGATGGCAGTGAGGCGGTGTGATCCATCACCGACCCACCGAGCCAGCTAATGTTTTGTGGTTTGTATTAAGCTGACGTTGTTGAGAAACTAAACAGTTTAGCACTTGTAACCATATAGCCGAGCTCTCGTCACCAGACAGCTAAAATAATCTATTTTCTTTCTTAAATTGTGACTTTTACAAAAATTCCAGCTTTTCCAGCTGGTAAAACCAGCCAACCAGACACTTTCTCCCACTCTCTCATGACAGATCTGTGAAATGTTCCACTGTTTGGTGAGTGTTTGTCGTGTTCTGACCATAAAGGATAGTTTAAAACAGTTTATTAACCACCCAGGAGCAAAAATCAGCCTTCAAACTCAAAGAAATAACAATTGGACATTTGTCGCGATATGTATCGATATCGACTGATACGAAGGTTTTTTTTACCGTGATAACATTTTTGGTCATATTGCCCAGCCCTACCTCAGACCATATCAATTTGCTCAATAATGTCAGGGTTATATAGGCTTATGTGTACACATAGACAGTAGCTGGTCTTCTTGAAGCCTGAGTTTTGTTGTGATTTGGGCAGATTTTAGGGGGAAAATTGTGTTTTTGGTTTTTAACTGAACCATTGCTTTAGTGAAATACAGAAATGAGCTACTGTTCTCCTCACAAGTAAAACTTCTTCTGCTGTATCTATTCTCTGTATTTGTCTTGAACTTTATCTCATTCTTTAATCCTGATGTATGTAAGAGGGAGTGAATTGTATATATTTTGACATCAGTATGGCAGACACACTGGCTTTCTTCTGATGGAATAGAGTAGAATTTAGTTCTTTAGTGGAATTTCCTTCTTTCTAATAACTGCCTAGATATAGAAAATCAAACCCCCCAAATTTCACCTTTATATTAACAGTTTGAGTATTGATGATTATATTAAAACATTTGATTTAAAATCCATATATTTGTATTAAATATTGTAAGAACAAATTTATTTCTGAAGATGTGCTGTATTTAGAGCTGGGAGGTCACCCATGCATAAGCGTATCTGTCCTGTGGGTCTCTCTCCCCCCTTTCTCTCTCTCTCTCCTCTCTCTCTCTCTCTCTGTCTGTCTCTGTGTCTCTCGCCCTGCGGGGTGTGTAGCATAAGCAGCGCTGCCCCGTGCTGGAGGAGCAGCTGGTGGACCTGGTGGTTTACGCCATGGAGCGCTCGGAGACGGAGGAGCAGTTTGACGATGGTGGAACCAGCCAGCTGCTCTGGCAGCATCTGTCCAGCCAGCTCATCTTCTTCGTCCTCTTCCAGTTCGCCAGCTTCCCGCACATGGTGCTCTCACTGCATCAGAAGGTGCTGCGCAGAGTGTGGAATCATACATTATTAATAATGTTTACATTTTTTCAGCTTTCGGTTATTTATTTAGAGTGCAGACCTGCTGCATCATATTTCAAATGATTTATACATCTGTGTGCAACCGTATTGGTTTTATTCTCGGGTTTCACCTGACGTCACACTGTATGGTCGCCGCCATTCTGAGGACCAAATCAGGGAGTGACTGCGCTGCACGCCTTCAATCTGCTGTGCTTTGTGAATGATTCACCTGCAAAATGCGACAGAAGCCGAGAATGATGAGAGACTACACAAACTCCAGGCTTGGAGCTCCTGCACTGTATAGTTTAGTGTTTCTCTCTGCTGTTCACCTCGTTCAGCTCAAGAAGGGATTAATCAGCTAATAATATCAGGTATTTTAACCAGGAAACCACAGTTATGCAGTACAGGGTTTCAGGACTGGAGCTGAACTCTGAACTAACTGCACTAGCAAACTTACAGAATCACGTCCGTCGAAACATGACGTCGTTTTCCGACCCACGACATTCAGTCTGATATTTAACGCTTATGTTTCTCCATTCAAACGTCATTTAAATCAGAAACAGAGAGTAAAGTTATGCCGGCTGTCTGCAGCTCCGTTAGGGGGACGACTGTTCATCTCTCGGCTGTTAACATCAGCTAAAGTTCTCTAAAGGCCAGCATTGATCTCATCTGTGTTAATTAGCTGATGTCGTTACCCTCCTATGATCACAGAGCTTTTATCTCCTCTCACACCATGGGATCCTTTACCCACCCTGACGTGAAGAGCTGGTGGGCTTCTGTGCTTTTAAATGCTTTGAGAGACTCCAGAATAGGGGGAGGGGCTGAGTATGAGATCAATATAGATGTCAGGAAAACAAATTTGGCTGCTTTTCCGTCAGTTTAAGTGGGACCAGGAGTTCAGGGGAAACTGTATAAGGATCACAGACTATTTTATCGACCTTGTTGAGGAACGTTTTTACTCTTCCAAAGTAAGGAGAGCAATTTTAGTCGTCTTTCACCTCTAGTTATGTTCGTGCGGAGCAGCGAAGCCACAAATTCGATCTCAAATATGGCGGCCTCAATAGAAACACAACGTGACTGAAACCCTCGGTCCAGCAGTAGAGCTAGGAGGGTGGTGTCATAGGTCATCATCCTTGGGCGTCTCCTTTAGGTTTCATATTAGTCAGCACTGACCAGTAACGGATTTGCTGATCACCAAAGTGTAAATAATTTCTCTTTTTAGAAAACATTGCATTCCATGATGATCAGCTACCAAACATAACTCCACTGGCTTTTTCAAAATTTCTGCATCATTAAATGGTTAACATGTCAACAAAGTCTTTGAGTGGTTTGGTGTGAAACGCTCCGTTCCAAAGGAACTTATTGAGTTGGAACTGTTCACAGTGGTGGTGATAGGAACCAGACGTCCACCTCTAAAAGCTCCGTCACAGACAGTTACTACATGTAATGGTTTTGAATTCACTGCCTGATGTCTGAGAGATTGTTTCACAGTAGTTCTGTGACACAGTTTTTTGAGTCCCCTAAAATAAAACTTTTTAAAATTTTTTTCAGATTGACCGTTGATTTTCCCATCAACACTGCATATATAAACTCAGAAGACTCGTGTAGATTCACTGGTGGTTTTGTGATAGTAAATACAATGGCTACATTTGTGTCGCAGACATTGTGACCTGTGGTTCCTTTCGCCACCACTGTAAAGACAATAAGCGTTGGTAAGCTTCTCTATAGATTAATTATTTCACATCAAATCACTCTGAATGAAATTTTGAAAAATCAGTGGAATTCCCCTTTAAGGAGTTCATAAAGTGAGAGGCACAATATGGGGTGATGAAATAGTGCAAAAAACTTTTGTTATTGTAAAAAAACTGCCTTGCAACATATACAAGGCTATGTTAAGCTCTTAAAGAGACCACCTGAAAATGACAGTTTGAAAAATAGGTGAAATTCTCAAAGGGGAATTCCACCTATTTTTCAGAATTTCACTGTAAGGGGTGATAAGTGTATGATTTTTTTTTTTATTGTAAAAAAAACTGCCTTGCAACATAAAGATGGCTTTGTAAAGCTCTTAAGGACACCAATGTCATAGATCTGCACACTGAAATTTGTGGTTCAGTTCCCCATTCTGACAAATAGGCTAATACAGGTTGATTCAAAAAGATTCATCTGATTTCAAAATGATTTATTTCACTTGTAAATCATTACAGATCAATACAGTGAACTGTAAATGGGTTAAATGAGCATAAAGTGTATTATGTAATTGTACAAGGTCTCAGTATGAACCTCCTCCAGCTGTACAGACAACATCAACACCATAGTCAAACTCATCCCATACTGGATTGAGCGTGTCGGGTGTCGCTGCACTCACGGCTCTTTCAGTGCGATTTCGGAGATCATCCAGTGTTGTGGAGCCAACGACGAACGCTCTGAGCTGTTGGAGCTTCACTGCTGACGTAAATCACGCTGCACAGTTATGACGGATTCACTCTTATTGAAGTGGAGAACGCAGAACGCTTTCTGCTCAGGGGTCTCATCTCCTCTCAGACTGAAGGGAACCATCTTCCACCGACAGTCAGAAACTCTATGACCCCCTCTTTCAATTGGATTGTGATTGGTTCCTAGGCACCTCACTGTGGTAAAAATATGGCACTTTGAAATCGGATTAATCTTTTTGAATCTCCCTGTATTTGAAACTCCCTGCGTGCACACCACCTACTCAGGGGGCAGATTTAATCAAGACTAGATCTCCGATGAGATGTTTCGTTTGATAGGGTTAACAGACTTTGCTTCCAGTTCATCCAGTGTTAGAGATGAATCCCTGATGTATATGTGTGTCTGAATCTCTCTGCAGCTGGCCGGTCGTGGTCTGATTAAAGGTCGAGATCACCTGATGTGGGTCCTGCTGCAGTTCATCTCCGGAAGCATCCAGAAGAACGCGCTGGCTGACTTCCTGCCTGTCATGAAGCTGTTTGACCTGCTCTACCCTGAGAAAGAGGTAAGATCAGTAAGTACTGTTTCAGCACGGCACCAGTTTGATGGCTAGACTCACTTCCTCTAAAGGTTTAGGGGGAAAATAATGATTAAAACTTTTTAATAAATTATCAGCGATTAGTTGGTGGTTGTTATGATAAAGCATTTTTAAAATTCTCCTACTGCTCTTGCCTCCAGAAGCAGAGCTAATAAAGCCTGATTTAAACAGCTTCAGAGCTCGCCTAGTTAGCTGTAGCGGACACTGCTATGCTAGGTAGCGCTAGCAGCTGCAAACAGCTAAGTTTACTTAATATACTTCAGTTTCTGATTTTACACCGGACCCTGAGCGTGTGTTACATTAACATATATGACCGGCATTGTTCATGAGGTTCGTACACTGAGTACGAAGAGCTCCGCCATGTTCGAGGCAGGTCACGGCCCACTGAGTGGGCGTGGCTGAGTAGACCTGTCACTCCAAATTAGGAGACCAGTAGAGAGTGCAGGCGAACGCCCTCTTCTAAGACCCGCCCCCTGTCAAAAAGTGCCAGAAGTCAGAAGCAGAAGAAAGATTTCAGAAGCAAAAAATCATATCAGGAAAAACAGAAAAAATTAGAGCAAAAACTGGCAAAATGAGTAATACAGTAATACATATATCAGAATGAGTAAACATGGGTAGTAATCTTTTTGAAAAATTAAATTTGATTTAACTCTCATTATTTGGACATTTTGGTACTTAATATTTTGCTTGTGTGTTTTATTATTTCATTAAATATCATAAATAAATATTATATTATATTATAAATATTATAAATAGTATTTAGTGCTTCATTCTGCTTCACTGTGTTCCCTCCTAATGCAGTCTGTTACACTTTTTGAAACCTGCTGGAGTTTTTGTAAAGACATGGGTTGTAGTTTTGCCCCATACACTCTCAGAAATAAAGGTACTAAACTGTCTCTGGGGCAGTACCCCTTTTGTCACTGGGGTGTCACCCTCAAGGGTCCATCTCAGTACTTTTAGTCAGGGAACATAACTGAACCATAATCCACTGAAATGATACTTTCTAAGCTGTACTGACTCCACACACCCCGTCTCGTCTCCAGGCTTTTATTTAATTGTTTTAAAACATTAGATCATAAAAAGATACAAATACAAACTTTTTACCTGGAAAAACTTATTTAAGGTTCGCAGTTGGACCTTAAAACCACTGTTGTACCTTTGAGGGAACATTTACACTGTACCTTGATGAAAAGCCAGAATGGACTAAAGTTTCATTTTTACTTTTTTTCTTAAAGGGGTTTTAGGTCTGAAAGCATCCAGACTCTTCCATGACACCAGCAGTGCTCTGAATTGGCTCAGTAGCATGTCAGAGGAAAAGAGCATTAAAAAAGAATTTTTTTCAGTGTTCAGTAACTCAGTCTGCCCGGAGGAAAGTGAGGAGTGTAAATGCTTTCCTGAAGCCTTTTTTAAGATTTTAAGATTTTTTTTTTTAGTGTATCACTGTTGTCGGATCAAAACCTTGTATCTCCAAAATGGTAACTTTATAGGAGAAGGAAAAAACATTCTCTACTTTTAATGTGAGTCGATGGAACCAGACGGTTTTCCGAGTAATTTTGGGTCGTTTCTGTTGGTCCATTCAGACAATATATAAGACCACAGATATTTTCAAATTATGTCAAAAACTGAAAAATGACAAAAATGGAGATACAGGGTTTTGTTCTGACAGCAGTGATATGTACTTCATTGACAGGTAGATTTCTGTCATATTTTCAGTGTAAGATCAAACTGATAAACAACAAAGGCATTTTTCCTAGTCTTTTATACTATACACTATTCTTTTATACTCATGTTCTACCACAGATAGAACATTCTGCGTGCTGCATTTCTGTGTATCTTTTCTCCTATCGATTTTTTTCCCTTACGGTCTCTGATTGCCCCTCTGCAGTGTGTCAGTGCTGATGATATGAGAGTGAGCCTACTCATCAGGCGGAGTGAGCTCTGACAGACGCTCTGTCAACCATTATTCCTACATAAAAATTCCTACAAACGACGGATCCATCTTTCTGTTCATAAATACCCCCATCTGTTCTTTCATACATCAGTACATGAAAATGAGTTTAACCCCTTAAACCAGCGGTGTCAAACTCAACCACTAAAAGGACCATGTTTAACAACCTCAACAAATCCGCTAGACAGATAGCTCCTTTGTTTTTATTTAATTTTTAAATGAGATTTTGCTGCGATCCAAACCAGCAGTTTATTCAGAATATTCCAAAACTGCAACAGCAAAACTGGCACTTTTAGCAGATCTTTAAATATTACATGAATATAGAACTATTTCGAAAATAACAATGGGCTTTATTAGCCACAGATAACTTTTCAACCTCTTTAAATGTCCACTCAAGGTTGATTGTTAAACCTGCCTAGACACCTGGCATCTTTTCTTTTTGTGGCGTAACTGCTGTCCCATAAAGTATTGTTTGGGGTGGCGTTATTGTAGTTTATTGTGAAACAGACTAACATTAATAGAAAATTATAATAAAAATAATTTCACGGGCCAGATTGGATTGTGCCATGGGCCTGGCCTGGCCTGGCCCGGCCCGGCCCAGCCCTCAGGCCTTGTGTTTGTCATGTGCCTTAAACCAGGGCTTCCCAACCTTTTTCCACCCCGAGGCCCACCTGTGTATAACTACAAAGCATAGCGGCCCCCAGGAAAACTGAAATCAGCTTTTTAAAATACATCTTTATTTTTCTTTTCTTAAATGCTGACACTGAAAACCTGAACATTCGTATTTTCGCTGAAAATACTCTGGCTTTTCCAGAAGAGTGACTGTCGAGATGTCTCTCTAGTTTTGAGGGTTTTTGTGATTCATTTGAAATAAACCTCACTCCACTCACCGGGCTTTTGAATTAGCGTCATCACAGTCAACAATAATGATGAATCTTACTTGAGATCTGCTTCTTTGTCATTGGTTTATTAGTCTGAGTTTAACCACTCAGGTCGATGAAGCTCGGCCAAATGTACGCTCCGCGATCCATGAGCTGAAATCAAACGCAGCTCTTCTCTGTTGTTTTATGGCTCATTTGTTGTTTTTAACAGCAGCTTGTGCTGAGAGTCTAAAGAGTCAGTCATTAAAACAGTTATTATGCTGATTGTATGGCGCCGTCGTGCTTTGGAAAGTTTGATCACAGAGCGTGTTTCCATCTGTAGTGAACTGAACAGGGTTGGGTTTGAAGCGGACCGAGATCTGTGGTTTCTGCCAGACCGGTTCAGCTGTTTGTTGCAGACCTAAATACGGGTGGAGTGTTCACATATGTCAAAAAACAGATGTAATAAGCACCAAACAAAGCACGCTGAGAAACTTCTCCATCTCTGGCTCACTGTCTTCACTGCCCACCCGCGGCTGCGCTGCCTCAGACTGATAAGGTTTAATTTGCCACTACTGCAACGTTTTTATTTGTACGTCTCTATTAATATTTATATTGGTTATACAGATTTTTAATTATTAACTTAATTGTTTTTGTAACGCTCCAGCACCCCACCGCGACCCAGAAGGATAAGCGGTTTAGATGATGGATGTATGTATGTTTTTGTAACGTTACCGGCCTGGATTACTGCCTCCCTCTGAGAACAGGCACACGGACCACTAGAGGGTGCTTCACAGCCCGCTGGTGGTCTGCAGCCTACAGGTTGAGAAACCCTGCCTTAAACTTCAAGAACGCTGCTTCAACTCCTCACTCTCACACAACAGTTCCGTAGTAGTTATAATTTATAGTTGTTACTGAACAATAAGAGTTTCAGGACTAGCTAATACAATTAAAAATTAAATTTAAAGGTTTGGTTATTAGTCAAATGCTGATCTACTCGACAGCAGGCGATTTATTACCGGTAAATGTTCAACCAAAAAAGTGGAGCTAGGTCTGCTGCAGCTTGATTGATATGAAAACCTGCAGCCACACCAGCCCTTAGTAGATAATACTGGACACGCCTGGCCTAAAGAATATGCGGCAGCTAACATCAGCAACTAACATCCTTAGAGTTTTAACCTTATGCCCACTGCACTTCACTGCACTTATACACGCATTATTGTAACGTTGAGGGAGATGAAGAGGCAGGATGCAAGTGCAAGTCCTTGTTTTCATGGAAAGCCGTGACGAAAGAATACACAAAGTAATAAAACAATAAGAACTCACTGGCAAAACACCTCAACAGAAGGGAAACCAGACTAAAGAACATGAAGAGGGCTAGAAAACAAACGGGAGATAATCAAAAAAGGGCCTGAGAACACAAAACACCAAGCAAACACACACCCAGGGGTATAAATACACACGGAACCAACCAAAAAACCCCTGGGACTAATGAGAGGGCTACAGACAACAGACAGGTGAGACAGATGACAATAAGGCAGGACTGGGGAGGAGACAAAGACCAGAGCCACAACAAAAGTACATGGACTACGTAAACAACAGCACATAGAACAAGACACAAACAAAGGCAGACAGACAGAAACAAGGAGAGACCAAGCATGCAAGACAGGATGTTACAATTATAGTGTGAACTTGTTTTAAAATGGCAAAAGTGAAATTACATCATCTGTATTGTTGTTTTCCTAATGTGGAGAGTGGTTTTGTGCTCTTTCTTTTGCAGTGCATTCCAGTTCCAGACATCAACAAGCCCCAGTCCACCCACGCCTTCGCCATGACCTGCATTTGGATCCACCTTAACCGCAAAGCCCAGAATGACAACTCTAAACTCCAGATTCCTATTCCGCACTCGCTCAAACTGCACCACGAGTAAGTGACTAGCACACACACACACACACACACACACACACACACACACACACACACACGAGACACCCCACAGATCTCAATCGCTTATTCAAACTCCAGCGTGAGCAAGATACTGCGTTTGCACTCACAAATAAGACACTAACAAATGACTCATTTACTCGCACACATGTAGACACAGTGTGAGCTCGTCGTTCTGTACTTACTCCAGCAGAGTAACATATGGGCACAAAACAAAAATCTTTTGTATGGCTCTGAATTTGGTGCCAGAGATATTCTGTAACTATAACTCAGGTCTGTTTTTATGGTAGAGCTCACAGCTAGTGATGTACGATGATATGGGAATCATACACTATATGGACAAAAGTATTGGGACACCTACACGTCACACCTACAGGAGCTTTTATGAATCCCATTCTAAATCCATAGGCATTAATATGGAGTTGGTCCCCCTTTGTAGCTGTAACAGCTTCTACTCTTCCGGGAAGTTTCTACAAGATTTTGGAGAGTCTGGGAATTTTTAGCCGTTTTTTAACCAAACTTTACAGCTGGCACAGTGCAGTCAGGCAGGTAACGTTCTCCTGGCATTCGCCAAACCCAGACTCGTCCATCAGACTTGCCAGATAGAGAAGCTGATTCGTCACTCCACAGAATGTTTCCACTGCTCCAGAGTCCAGTGGTGGCGCTTTACACCACTCCAGCCGACGCTTGGCATTGTGCATTTTGATCTTAGGCCTGTGTGAAGCTGCTCGGCCATTTCGTGAAGCTCCTAATGTGCAAGTTTGGAACTCTTGAGTGATTCAGCAGAGGATAGACACCTCTATAGACGCCATCAGCCGCCCCACTCTGTGTTTGCATGGTCTGCTGCTTCGTGGCTGAGCTGTTAGCACTTTTACGTACCATGTTTAAAGTCCCTGAGCTCATCAGTTCGACCCTCTACTGCCAGTGTTTGTCTATCGAGACTACAAGGCTGTGTGCTTATCTTTATCCACCTGTCAGCAATGGGTCTGGCTGAAACACCTGAACTCATAATTAGGAGGGTTGTCCCAATACTTTAGTCCATATAGTGTGTTTGTATAGGTAGATAACTGCTAGCAGAACGTTTAGGCTACACTTACTGCCCTAAAGTATATACATTTTATTCATTTTACTGCTTTGTTAACCCTCTAAAAATAGAGCAATGCTAGTACACGTGGTTTAGTTCCAATTTCTTCATTCTGTAAATATTTATGCATCGACATTGGCAGACATTTACAATATATTGCTTGTAGGCATTGTCTCAGAATTCCCATATCAGTGCATCCCTGATCACGGCCCACTTTATAACCCCGTTTGTTCACTCACAGTGTATGTGTTCACTATAAATGAAAGCTGGTGGCATTATATCGCTCTGGGCTAGTGGGTGTTCTGCATATTTCAGAAGCTCTACTGATTGTGGTACAAGAGGCCATTTACAGCTTGTAAATGTTTACTGGCTGCTGCTGATGCTTTTTAATGAATGTTTTATTTTTGGAGCCCTTTTTTGGCTCACTAGAACATCGTGTCCCATGATGGAGTTAAGCAGTTTAAAAATATTTTCTTAAAAAAAAAATATACCAACAACAGAAATCCAAGTAAAAACAACTGGGTTGTTTGCTTTTCCTTTTCTCTAAATTCAGTGTTTTAATTAATATAATTAGTTAATATATTAGTGGTTAAAGCTTATCCTCTGTTCATGGTGTGGACCAGAGGAGGATGGGTTCCCCTTTTGAGTCTTGGTTCCTCTAAAGGTTTCTACCTCTTGCTCTTAGGGAGTTTCTCTTTGCCACCCTGTCGCCCTTGGGGGCTCGAACCTGGGTTTTCTGTAAAGATGCTTTGTGACCGCGTCTGTTATAAAAAGCACTATGTGAATAAACTTGACTTTGACTTTGAAATTACACCAAACCTGAGGATTGTTATCATTTTTGTGTTAGAGTTTATTTAAATCTTGTTCTCTGTTTGTTTCAGGTTTCTACAGCAGAGCTTACGCAACAAGAGTCTGCCGATGACAGACTACAAGATAGCGCTGCTGTGTAATGCTTACTCCACCAACTCGGAGTGCTTCACGCTGCCCATGGGGGTCCTGGTGGAGACCATCTATGGAAACGGGAACGTGCGCATGTCACTGCCGGGAACCAACTGCGTGGCGTCCGGCTCCGTCACTCCTCTGCCCATGAACCTACTCGATTCGCTCACTGTCCATGCCAAAATGAGGTGAGAGCAGTCCGTCATGGAAACTTCTCAGAGCTGGTTTACTTTAGCACTCTGTTCCTCTGTAGGGCCAAACGGTCTGACCTTTCAGCGGCATTTCTAACCAGTCTGTCATTGGACCACTTAGATAAACGAGCTGTTTGAGTAGGATGGCTGTTTAGTTTTACATCTAGGCCACTTTTGTATGACCCCATCCTGTGCTGTGTTCACAAAGAACAAAAAGACTACAATTCCAAATCCTCCATGTTGTCATTCAGCAGAATAGGGAGTGACAACAACAAGCATGTTTATTATTTATTACAGACATGGTGCTCCATTGCTGACCCACTGCATCAGTTCCTGTCAGTGCTGTAATTTTTCTTTGGTAATTCTTAGTTCTGAAAAGAGACCATACCTTGCTGCACCTCGCTACTCACCACGCTGCTTTACCGTGAGAAGGAGGTAAAGAGTAGGAGTGGAGACCCTTCAATAGCATGGCCCGATTCTATTTCTTCTTTTTACCCCTACCCCTTGTTTTGAACTGAGTTATAAGGGATAGAGGTTGAAATCTTCCCACGAAGTGGGACCCTCAAACAAAAAGAGCATCACTTCATTAACAGCTACCAGCGCTGCTCTGTAGGCGACCCTGCCAGTCTGCAGTGACAGCAGAGGAGGGTAAAGTTCAGCTCCTCACTGCTGGGCTTTAGTTACATTTAGGGCATCATATGCCTTCAAAGAGGAGGGGCAATTATTTATTATCACCCACAGGACACAGGTCAAACGTGAAAAGGATCAGAGTCTCCAAAAGCTGCTCCAAATGGGGCTCAAATTGGGCTACAAGCACCTGAGTTTAATCGTTGAGGAGCAAATGAGATCTTACTTGCACTTGAAGACCTTCTGCCCGTTTGTGTTGTGCTTCGTGTGGATCTGCGTCTCAAAAAGCAGATCAAACTGAGTTATGGAGATGTAGTACTTGTTGGGGGCCTAAATGAGACTGAGAAACTCTCCGTTCTTAACGCTGACAGAAGCCCGTGTCTCACCAGAAAGAAACAGCGCCACCTTGTGGATAAAGACGTGCATTTTGATAACCCGTTTGCTTATAGACTCGACGCATAAATATAGTAATAATTAAACAACAAAGTATCGCTGCTTCAGCCTGCGTGTATCAGTACTGTTTCGAATTGTATCAGTGTTTCTCTCGTCCCTGGAAACGAGGCCGCTGTGAGCTGGAAAAGCCTGGGTAGAGTTTGTCCAAGTGGGTCTGCGATGGTGTTCGAGCTAAAAATGCAGCTGAGAATAAAAACGCATAAAAATGATCGTTAGTCCTCAGCTGTAGTTCATACTTGTGTCTCCCCAGTGACATTAGTTATGGCAGAATTGCTGGAAGGATTTTTCTTGGTGCTGAACTCTCTCCTAGATTTTGTGCAAAGGCTTAATGAGGGTCTGAGTAGTATCTCTCCACGGCCCACTGTGCTGATCCTGTTAGTTTTACATTCTCTCTAGAGCCTTGACTGGGCTGCATTTTAACCTCTGGGCTGAGAAATATAGTATCTGTTTGTTTTTTTTATATAATATAAATGGATCTTACTTTTCTCATCACAGCAGGAAAGTGATTCTCCAGCCATTTGTCAGTCTCTGATTATGGGGGGACATAATTTATATAAATACTGTGGTCAGAGCATTGCGGGTGTTCTTGTTATAGACACATAACGGCATTGTGGGTTCACAGCAGTGCTTCTTATTGTGCATTTACAGCATCATGTTATGCAGGTCAGCTCTGTACATCTTGCACAGCATGTCTGTCATTCAGTGATATGGATTTTAGCGTTAAAATCATTCATGTGTTTTTTCCTGAATTTAGTAAAGTAGCTTTAACCACTTAATAAGCCATGGGCCCACTGCTGTGACCTAAGAGTAGCTTTATGCATTTCTGTAGTTCAGGGCTGCAACAAACAACTATTTTGACTATTGAGTTGTATAATTTATCAGTTATTGAAACGAGTAATCAGTTTTTCAGATTATGTATCGCTCAGTTACCAAATAACTCTTTACTAACTAACAATGAAGACGAGATGGATAACTTATTCCCAGTTGTAATGAACTTTGCTGCTAATACAAAAGGTAATAGAAATAAAACAACATCTTTTTGATGTCAAAATGTAAAATCAAGGATGTGCAAAGTAGCAGCAATAAAATATAACAAAACTAAATCAGTTTTCCGTTATGGTAGACTATAATATCTGTCTATGTGTAGATATGGCCGGGTGGTTGGAGGACGTGTTGGTGTGTTTAATCACACCAATCTGTGCATCACCAACCACACAACATAAACATGACACAAACAATACGAGTCACACTAACATGAGTGTGGATCACTGCGTTCCCTCCGTTATATAATCCTATCCCTCATCCTGAGTATAATATTCTTGAAATAGTGTAATTTTGGACAGTATCTTTCTTAAACTGCCGCTCTGTAATGGTACTGAATGCAGTCCAGCAGCGATGTTGACCGCCCCAGAATGGCGGCGCCGTTGACGTTGCTGGCTAGGCCGAACGCGGCATCTAGGTATGTATATCTATGAGCAACATCTCCAGCCATAAACGCGAGTTTTGTTCAAATTCTGCGAGCGCTGGTGAACGTTTGTGGCGAACTTGTTCTCTATGAAGAGTTAAATTTAAACGATTTTGTGTAAGCATTTCATTTCACCGGTAACCTTTCGTCTAGCTGCGCTGTACGTTCGTAAGTGAACAGGGTCGTTGTGAATAATAGTTTCTTGGTTCTCTGTTCCAGCTCCATTAACGATTCCAGAGCGCATTCATTTCGAAACAGATGCTACAGTTCATAACATGAAGTGTAACGGCTTTTAACGTTAACATTAGCTAACTTTTGGACAGCGCAGCTGTCTTACCGAGATGAAGCTTCTTCATCCAGTGAGCCGACGCGTTTCTTCTTCAGATGCTCCAACAGTGAGGATGCGCTCCCGTAGCCAGCTAAGGTCGGCTTTACAAACAGCACAACTGACAACCTTTTTTTCAAAGTTAATCGTGAAATGCTCCAACAATTTTGAGGATTTTGTTCTTGAGGCTGCCATTGCCATGTCAAAACGTTGCTGGCTCGAGAAACACGTGACGATGACTAATCGACTATTGCCAACTAATTTGATCGTCGATTTTAGTCGACTAAGTCAAATAATCCTTGCGCCTCTACTGTAGTTGCTGAATAATAAGCCTTAGTTTGTGATAAACCTGGAATGATAAGAGGTTCATGTTCATTTTGCTCTCATTTTATGGAATAAATAGTAAAATTCCCAAACTGTTTAGTTAAATATCTAATTGCTGCTCTGCCTCAGCACACAATAAAATCCATTTACCTCTCTGATTGATGTCACGCGCTGCTGTCTGTCTGTTCACAGGCGTTTCGCTGTGTGTGAGAAGGAGAATTCATTTTCTCCGACTGACTCACTCTGTTTTCGTGTGTGTGGAGCAGTTGTGTGTCCTGCTGTCAGCAGGCTTGTAGAGTTGGTGACTAAGGGAAGAGAAAAATGACTAAGAGATTATGAATTTTCATTTTAATTTGCACCTCCAGGGCCATGCCATCTTCAGTTATTTATTTATTTATTTATTTATTTTTAATGCTAAGGAATGAAATTCAACACTGTGCTTCTGTTATTTTGTCCAGAGAAGCAGAAAATGAGAAACGGACACTTCATACAGGCTCATTGATAAACAGAAGTGACCAGTTTTCACAGATGTGTTTGTGTTTACTGTGTTTATTTACTTTTGTGGTTCATTATCTCAGAGACGTTTCTGTTGGCAAAATGCTCACCATTCACTAGTTTTGCAGGGCCGGACATGATCCTGTAACAGGAATGCTTATGGGTGGGAATGTTACTGGGGTCTTCTTCCAAGAAAAATACTGTTAAACCAGCCTAGGGGTGGTCAATATTGCAATATTTTATCACCATCATGATAAATTGTCTCAATACACTTTCCCGACCGTATTGTGGATAACGTTAGCACTCAATTGAGAATTCCACCATTTTTTCCACCAATTTCTGCATAACTCAGTGTGTGAGATGTAAACAGAGTGATTCAGAGTAGTTTGGTGTGAAATGGTTCAGATGTCTTTACAGTGGTGGTTATAGGAACCAGGGGTCGCCATGACTACAACACAAATATAGACATTTTATTTACTATCCAGAACCACCAGTGAACCTACACGAGTCTTCTGAGTTTTGTATGGGATGTTGATGATGGGAAATAGTCATAAATTTGAAAAAATATGTTTCTTTGGGGACTATTTTGAATCAATGTATCCATCCGCCATGAATGGATTCCAATAAATGGATTAAAATACATAATCTTAAGCCAAAACCTTATCACAAAACCTAAACAGCGTCTCAGACTTTAAGCAGTGAATTCATAACCATCTCATGTAATAAATATCTGAGAGGGAGCTTTTAGAGGTGGACGTCTGGTTCCTATCACCACCATTGTGAACAATTCTCGGTGAGTGCCTCTAGAACGGAGCATTTCACACCAAACCACTCTGAATGACTTTGCATCTCAACTTTTTCATTATGTAGAAATTTTAAAAAAATCGGTGGAATTCCCCTTTAAAGAACACTGACTGCATGTTTCATTGCAAAGTGAGCATAACTGGGCCAGTTTAATCAGATTTAAATCAGTGATGTTGTACGTATTATTATTATTATTATTATTATTATTGTTACTACTTTATTATGTGTGTATTTGTGACACTGCAGGTTTTATTTTGTCTATTCCAACTTATTTAGTCTCAGAGCTGCTGCTGATGATGATGATAACAATAAGTGATATAAAAGTTATTAAAAGTGCTCAGACTGAAGGAATTTGAGGGAAGGTTTTAAAGGGTAAACCTGTGGGCGGAGCCTCATTAATTTTGCTGCTGTCCACTAACGATATTTCAAGAAGTTGTTTCCAAGCATGATTCCATCACTATATAGTGGGAGATGGTTTAATGTTAAGTGTTTTTGGCCATTCAGACATGCCCATACTGACCTCTTTATCTCTTTGTGTGTTAGTCTGATCCACAGTATAGCCACACGGGTCATTAAGCTGGCCCAAGCCAAGTCCAGTATCGCCCTGGCCCCTGCCCTGGTGGAGACGTACAGCCGCCTGCTGGTCTACATGGAGATCGAGTCCCTTGGAATCAAAGGCTTCATCAGTAAGGCTGGACTTGCTGAGTTTAACACACCTGCACACTATGCAGCCTCGATATTCTAACAGTGTATTTCTGTGTATCCTCTATGGGTAAAGCCTCGGGTTCACTACACGACTTTTAGAGTACAGTGTCCGGCTGGCTTTTGCAGATTTTATTTGGAGACTGAAATATTGGGGATCCACACTAAACGATTAGGGATCGCACACTACTCAACTTCAGGTGCTGCCGAACCGAACTGAACTCACTGAACTCTCGCATTCTCCCACTTCTAGTAGACGCAAATAAACAAACATGGATCTGCTGCTGCTGTTTTCTCTGCCGTTTGTGCTGATACAGTAAAGAGCAGCGGGTAAACATGTTTAAGTGAGGGTCATGGATTTAAAAATGTGATCAGTTTGGTATTTTTTATAGTTTTAAATGTACATAAACTCGATTGTGTCTCGTTAAAAAGCTTCGCTCCACACGTGAGAGACTTTTCACGGTTATTCTTTGTTTACTTGCTGTTTTTTCTTCTTTCGCGCGCTCAGTTTTCATTGGCTGTTGCAGGAGTCCATTCCGATTGAGTCGTTGATCAGTTTACACTAGATTACACTCAGAGTCGGCTCAGAAAATCAAACGTTTGATAAGCTCCGACTGGTCTGAAAGGTGATCAGGAGGCTGTAAACCTGAGTCTGCGCTCCTCACACGTGACTCTATTCTCTCTCCAACTGTCGACTCAGACTGACCCAAAAATCTGCAGACTAGAGCCGACCAGCTCAGACTCAGCCAGACTGAGAATCAGGGCTAAAATCGGGGGAAAAGTTGTGTAGCGTAACCTCAGCGAAAAAGAGGCAGTGTCAGTCTTGCTTAAATTGCAGATTATCGATATAGATATTACATGTTATTGCAAATTATAGGCGGTATAGATTATATAAACACTCAAAGCAAAACAAAGTTAAAGATAAAATACATAATTAGCTGAAAGAGGTGGATCATGTATGTTAATTTGACAGTAAAATGCTCGATTTGTAGGGCTTTTCATGTATCTGAATGCCTGATTTGTAGAGCTTTTCATGTATTTGAATGCTTAATTTGTAGGACTTTTCATGTATCTGAATGCCTGATTTATAGGCCTTTTCATGAGTTTGATGCACATGGTGTAGTCTGAGCTGTGTTAATTAGAGCTGAATTAATTGGGAAAGATTCCTCTGCAGCCACTTTCACCCAGGCGGTTCCTCCAAACCTTGCCAGCTGTTCTCCCTCTGTTCTAAACATCTGCATGTATGTGTGTGCCTGGTTCCTCATGTTTTGTGTATTTTCTCTCTCTCTCTCTCTCTCTCTCTCTCTCTCTCTCTCTCTCTCTCTCTCTCTCTCTCTCTCTCAGGTCAGCTGTTGCCCAACGTCTTTAAGTGCCATGCATGGGGGATCCTGCACACCCTGCTGGAGATGTTCAGTTACCGGATGCACCACATCCAGCCGCACTATCGAGTCCAGCTCCTCTCTCACCTCCACTCGCTCGCTGCCGTACCGCAGACCAATCAGAACCAGCTGCACCTCTGGTCAGAGTCTTCACAGTTACACCCTGTGGATGGATGAATGGATGTATACAGGATTTGAAAAGTCAGAGAGTCACCCTTTCTTTCGTGTTGCCTTTATTAAAGCTCACTTTCTTTCCTGGAGACTTTCTAAGAAATCTGCAGGGCTGTTTTCCCTGCTTCTTGTAAACACTCCAAGTTTCGGGCTTAGAAGTTCGTGGCATAAAAAACTTACGCCTGTTTCGGTGTTATGATGCAAATCTAGTTTTCTCAGTGAGGTTCTTCTTAAACAGCTATACATCCTTTCAGACCCACAGCGCTGAGTCGTCTTCTCACAGTGGAAGGATGGACAGAAACACCTGTGGATTTTTGTTGGAGGTTGTATGCATGCCTTGAGGAATGGATATGCAGGTTGATGGATGATGAATAAATAGTGATGGATGGCTGGACAGATGAATGATGGAGTAATTGCAGCTATACAGGAACATCAAAGATGCACTGAATTGTATGAACGAGTGTGGTTTGGTTCTTGAATGTGAACCACATTGAGTACTGAAGAGCATGAAATATGTTTCTCCTCTGCACACATTTTTCCCTTTATGTGATTCTAATCTGTGTTGTGTATTTGTGTATGTTTCAGTGTGGAGAGCACAGCCCTGAGGTTGATCACAGCGCTGGGCAGCTCAGAGGTCCAGCCACAGTTCACACGTTTCCTCAGTGACCCCAAAACGGTGCTGTCCGCTGAGTCTGAGGAGCTGAACCGAGCGCTCATCCTCACCCTCGCCCGCGCCACACACATCACCGGTACACTACTCTCTTAAAAACGATAGTTCTTCAAAATTATGGTTCTTTAAGGGTTCCTTAGTGAAGAAAATGGTTCCTCACAGAGCCACTTGCATGCTTAAATAGTTCTTTGCATGGTGAAATCGTTCTTCAGATTGATGGAGAGTGTGCTGTAGATGGTTCTGTATAGCTTCTAACCATAGAAGAACCATTTTTGGTGGTATATAGAACCCTATATAACCCTGTATAGAACCAGCTACAGCACATTCCCCATCAAAATATATATAGAACCATGAACACACAAAGAACCACTTGCATGCTTAAATGGTTTTCTGCATCACGAAGGCAATCGTCAGATCGAAGAACGGGCTGTAGATGGTCCTATCTAGAACCTTTTTGAAAATGGTTTTACATAGCTCCAAAAAAGGTTCTTTTATTGTGACGATGTCGGGCTTGTAACAATAGAAGAACCCTTTTTGGTACTACTTTGAACCCTTTTCAGAAAGGTGCTGTATAGAACCATTTACAGCACGTTCTCCACATATATATATATATATATATATATATATATATATATATATATATATATATATATATATATGTGTGTGTGTATATAGAACCATGAACACACAAAGAGCCACTTGTGTGCTTAAATGGTTCTTTGAATGGTGAACTGGTTCTTCCGATTAATAGAGAATGTGTCGTGTATGGTTCTATATAGAACCAAAGAGGATTCTGCTGTTGCAGTGTCAAGCTTGTAACCATAGAAGAACCCTTTTTGGTGCCATATAGAACCATTTTCCAAAGGATCTGTATAAAACCATCTACAGCACATTCTCTGAAGAAATCTTTCATGATAGAAAGAACCTCTTAATCATGCGAAGGGTTCTTTGAGTGGTCATATTTCTGTGTAGAACCAGAACTAAAGAACCCTTAAAGAGCCATCAGCTTTAAGTGTGTAGGATATATTTATCACCCACTGTAATATAGGCAAATTGCATACATGTTGGTTCTGATGCTGAACTCTAGGCTTATTATCATTTATCTCAATACTTATTATTCAGTAACGACTATAAATTATTTGGTAGCTATTATGAAACTAATATGTAATATGAGAATGAGGATTTGAAGGGTGGACCCACATATGGGTTTATAAAGGGTTAATAAGAGTTCTTTAGGTTAAGCAATTCATCTCCTCTTGGTCTAGATTTCTTCACAGGTTCGGACTCCATCCAGGGCACGTGGTGTAAGGACATTCTGCAGACCATCATGAACTTCACCCCTCACAACTGGGCTTCTCATACCCTGAGCTGCTTCCCTGCTCCCCTGCAGGTAGGCCACGCCCTTATCATTGACCGTTCCAGTCAGGAACAGCACAAACACCAGCACATCAAGCCCTGAGCCAGCCCTGGGTTTACTTTGGTCATGAAAGATAAACATGTTGTTTAGTTCAGTGAGCAAAATTTTGCGCTGTAGTTTGCAATTAATTTTATCAGCTATTTGAAAGCTGCTGTAAGACCTCAGTCTTTTTGGACAGTTTCTGGACAGTTTTGTTCCAGTATATACCTTCTATATTAAGGGAATGACAAAGACCACTTGATCAGAGAAGCTTAAAGTACTGAAATTGAGAAGCTTGTAGTGTTGAAGTGGAGAAGTTCCTGAGAAACTCCTAGGGCTGTAGTTGAGAAGTTCCTGAGAAGCCCACAAGGCTGTAGTTGAGAAGTTCCTGAGAAGCCCTTAGGGCTGTAGTTGAGAAGACCCTGAGAAGCCCTTAGGGCTGTAGATGAGAAGTTCCTGGAAAAAGCCCTTAGGGCTGTAGTTGAGAAGATCCTGAGAAGCCCTTAGGGCTGTAGTTCAGAAGATCCCCGGAAGCCCTTAGGGCTGTAGTTGAGAAGTTCCTGAAAAAAAGGCCCTTAGGGCTGTAGTTGAGAAGCTCCTGAGAAGCCCTTAGGGCTGTAGTTGAGACGTTCCTGAAAAAAAAGCCCTTAGGGCTGTATTTGAGAAGATCCTGAGAAGCCCTTAGGGCTGTAGTTGAGAAGTTCCTGGGAAAAAGCCCTTAGGGCTATAGTTGAGAAGATCCTGAGAAGCCCTTAGGGCTGTAGTTGAGAAGTTCCTGAAAAAAAGGCCCTTAGGGCTGTAGTTGAGAAGTTCCTGGAAAAAAGGCCCTTAGGGCTGTAGTTGAGAAGTTCCTGAAAAAAAAGCCCTTAGGGCTGTAGTTGAGAAGTTCCTGAAAAAAGCCTTTAGGGCTATAGTTGAGAAGATCCTGAGAACCCCTTAGGGCTATAGTTGAGAAGATCCTGAGAACCCCTTAGGGCTATAGTTGAGAAGTTCCTGAGAAGCCTTTAGGGCTGTAGTTGAGAAGCTCCTAGTATTGTTGTTGAGAACTGTCCAGTGTTGAAGTTGATGGCCTTGTTTTAGGCCTGCTGAGCTACCTTGCTGCCAGCTGCTGACATGGGCAACACTTTAACCGATGCTCTCAGTTAGCGATTAGTAGGGGTGGGCAATTAATTGAATTTTTTTCAATTAGGATTTTTTTTTCCAAAGATTATGAAAAGAAGATAATCAAGATAAAACCTACATGATGTTTCCAAAGTCAGTGCTTCAGTGAATCATGTTAAATAATCGTGATCTCAGTATTGACCACAATAATCGTGATTATGAGTTTTGCCCTAATCGTGCAGCCTTACTGATTTTGTCACGTCATTCTCACCCCTGCTTGCGATGTAGATTGCTAGATATAAATAAGCATATTAGTCTTTCTCTGAAGTCCTAGTAGCTAATAATCCGAAAATATTCTACTTAAAAAATAAACGTAAACAGATTACTGCTTGTGCTCAGCGTTCAAACAGTGTTTTGTTGATCGCTGCATCGCGTTCGTACACTAACTTCAAGTAAATTTTCTAGGAAACTTGTTGTTGAGTTGTATTATAGGATTGCATTACAATTGAAGAAGATATATGATGCTCTCTTATAACTGGGATAAAGAGTGTGTTTATTTGTTAGGAGCATATTTAAGGTTTATAAGAACCTACAAATGGGATCACTTTGAATTTGGTGGGTTAAAATCCTCCCTATATGGAAACCTCACTAGATACTAAGGCCCGATCCCATTTCTTCTTTTTACACCTACCCCTTGTTTTCGAGTGTCACCCTAACCCCTAACTGAGTTACAAGGAGTTACTTACAGCTACCAGCGCTGCTCTGTAGGCGACCCTGCCAGTCTGCAGTGACAGCAGAGGAGGGTAAAGTTCAGCTCCTCACTGCTGGGCTTTAGTTACATTTAGGGGCAATTATTTATTATCACCCACCCCTAATTCTTCAGTGATATGAAGCTGAAGTCAGATATTCACCAGCTTCTTGTTCCACCTTAAATGGTGCAGCAGTTACATTCTGACCATTTAAGGTGGAACGGGAAAATTAGCTAGCTAGCTACCGAGACATTAGGATGCTAATACGATGGTTAACATAATTTTTTAAAGGAGAAATGAAGAAAAAAGTTTTCTTTAATGTCTTGTTCTCCATCTTGCCAGTTTTTCTTTTTTTCTCATATCACTCTGGAGTCTCTGAAAAACCTCCATTTGGAGGGTCATGTAGCCCGAACACTTCGCCCTCCCCCTCTAGCTCAACATAAATTGGGACACCCTACCCCTAGACGTGAACACGCAAAGCAGAGGGGTAGGGCTAAGTGGTAGGGACGAGGGGTGAAATGGGACTGGGCCTAAGACAGAGCTGGTATGACTTTGTAGGCATGACATGGAGAAGAATTCTTCTGTTTTGCCACTGAGTGAAGTTTGCTGTGGAATAATTTGAGTGGCATCTACAGCTGCATCCGTATGTTTGTCGCGTCTAAACACTAAAAAAATCTGTTATTTGTTGTTTTGTGTTAGCGCTCTCGTCTGTTTGCGGCGCGACAGTGCGTTTCTCACTGCCTGCTGAACTCCAGACAAAGCTGAGCTCCCTGGAGGGATAAAAACACTTTTCTCTCTCTGTGATTTAAAGCCGCGCGTTAGTGGCGCAGCGGAGTGTTTTCTGAGCACAAAGAATTGTCTTTGTGAAATTTTATTGCCTAGTGTTTGACACAAAAGTCAAGATGTGCAGTTTTGTCCCAACAGTTTATTTCTGAGGAAATTGCTCTGAGATGTGCAGAGAGAGACAAGTAGAACGAGCAGATTTTGCAGAGAAGCATCTTGTACCAGTCTCCCTGCCCTCAACTCTAAAATTGCTTTTAAAGGAACAAGCCTACCTCATCTTAGCTGAAGATGCATAGAAGCTAAAACAGAGCACAACAGCAGTTCATATTCAAGCCAACCTACAAATACAGTATTCAGTTTTTATTGGCCAATCAGAACTAAGATATCACCAGTTTTGTTTTTGCATTTCTTTCTTCACTACACTCTAAAAAAGAGAGTTCTTTAATAAAGAAAAAGGTTCTATATAGAACAATAAACACTCAAAGAACCCTTTGCATGATCACAGAGATGTTTGCTTCATGAAAGGGTTTTTCATACTGATGGAGAACGTGCTGTAGATGGTTCTGTATAGAACCTTTTTGAAAATGGTTCTATATAGCACCAAAAGGGTTCTTCTATTGTTACGACGTCACGCTTGTAGCAATAGAAAAACCCTTTTCAATAAGGTTCTATATAGAACCGTCTATAGCACATTCATGCACATTTTCGATCAATCCGAAGAACCCTTGCATGATCCAAAGAACCTTTTAATCATTGAAAGAGTTCTTTGAGTGGTCATGGTTCTATAAAGAACCATTTTCTTTACTAAAGAACCCTTGAAGAACTCTCTTTTTTAGAGTATAGCTTTCAAACGGTGCGACAAAAAGGTTAACCTGTATATTGTCATTGTTAGCGGGCAAAATGGTCAGCTTCCATTTATTTAGTCTATATAGCAAGTGGCAATGTTCGGGGTCCAAGCATGTTGAGCCTCATGAAGCCAGTTTATCTCATTGAGTTTTTAGAACAGCCTTTATTTCGAACAGAAGTGGGATTCTAAAGGAGATTTCATACACACTGTTGTTGCTATGGAACTGCTCATGAGTGTTCATGTATGCACTGCATGAAATATCTTGGTGAAATTTAGTCGATATATGTAATATTCTTCATTTTAAGATTGCTGAAAGCTTATTTATCTTATTTCTGGACTTTTACTTATTTTAAGTGATTTTAGTGAGTTAAACTATCTCAGTATACTGGCAGATATTTTTTTCGTTTGTCATATTTCTTAAAATAAGCAAAATTATTTGACAATATAGTGAAAAAATTTGACTTAATAAAAGTACCTTATTACAAAGTACAAAATGTCTAGAAATAAGTTAAATAATCTTATAATCACCTTACAACTTTTCCAAAATGAGAAATATTTATGTCGACTAGATTTATCATTTGACTTGATAATATTTCTTGCAGTGCGGTTACAAAAAGAAAGAGCTAAATATTTGAATCTTTTGAAATGTTTCTTAGTTACTCTTTTACTCAAATCAATATTTTTAAATCTTTGAAAGGCTCTGCTTAGTTTGTTATTGTTTAGATAAGTGCATTTTTGTTAGGGGTGTAATGATGCACTTGATTTGATTCATGAAACTGGATTCAAGATTCAATATTCTTACAATGTTTTGAGCAAAATTCAAACAAAGAAAAATGATCTGTAATCGTATTTCATAGCTCACTAATGATGCTACAGCTGGGAGGCAGGAGGGGTGCTGGAGCAAGTTGTTGATTGGTGCTGATCGTTTGCCCCTTGTCACAGTTTTGAATTGCGATATAATGATTTCACAATACATTGCACCCCTAACTTTTATTGTTTGGCATTTTTTTAAACTCTAATTTATCTGGTAATTGTCACAATAATTAATAATACTATCAATACTAGTGCTATTACTATTGCCACTACTACTAAAAATAATATGTTCTATAATAATTGTCAAATTATCATAGAGATAATTTAAAATAATTGGTAATATCAGTAATGCTGTAATGCTGACAGCCCTAAATCCATGATCAAGCAGTTTGCAGGGAAACATATTTCCGACTTTTGCTTGTAGTTTTTCAGAAAATTCAGTTGCCACCTTGTGCATAAATTCCATCTGTGAACAAAATTTCGCCTCTCTCCTGTCGTCACTGCAGGCGTTCTTCAAGCAGAACAACGTTCCTCAGGAGAGCCGCTTCAACCTGAAGAAGAACGTGGAGGAAGAATATAGGAAATGGAAGTCCATGACCAACGAGAATGACATCATCACGCACTTCTCCATGCAGGGCTCTCCTCCGCTCTTCCTCTGCCTGCTGTGGAAGATGCTTCTAGAAACTGACCACATCAACCAAATTGGCTTCAGGTAGCTGCTGCGCTCTAATATACAGTCACTAGAGCTGAGTGGAAAAATTCAAATACTTGTGTATTTGTTCATTATTTCCATAAGGGGTCAGCAAAGTGTGGCTCTTTTACTGCCCTGTTGTGGCTCCACAGCAGAATCAGATTTGTAGGTAAAAATAAAATAATTCTCCTTTACAGTAAAATAAAGCTCTGCTGATCGTTCAACACAGTTTAACAATAAATGGTCTTAAACGCTGGAGTTAATGTAGAACTGCTGATTCACCCTTTAACCCTGAAGATCAGCGCAGACTGCTGGTCACTGTAACAACACAGATGACAAGCTTGCTTAGCTAGTAGCTAACGAAACGGCAAAGAGAGAGATTTAAGATGAACATCAATAATTTGGAGACGAATGGACTTTTTTGCATTTATAATCACTCCAGCTGGTTGATTGCAGTAACAAATCTACTATAAATAACATTGAAATGTTTACCTATAAAAGTGTTTTCACTCTTATGATGGAACAGACTCGGACCATTGCGTTAGCAGTGGATAAGAACTTGGCTGTTTATTCAGTAAACCGGCTAAACTGAGTACGAAAACAGATTGCATGTTGCTTTTTAAAGATTTTAAAAGATTTATGTCCTGAACTTAATTTTATATCATACAAGGTAAGCAAAGATCAGGCAGACTCATCTGTCTCCTTATGAAAATTGACATATTAAATGATAATCATGGGCACGATGACGTTACACACCCAGGCTGATTTGAAACAGGCGTGTTTGTGCGGCTGCAGCTGGTGGTGGCTGTACTGAGCCCTGTTGTGTTGGACTGAGTGTCATTAGTGTCTGTCTGTGTTGCTCTTATGACTCAGAGCACGAGTTCTCACTGATAAGGCAGCCAGTGTTCAGACTAAAGCACCTGATCAGCGGAGGGGGTGGTGGGGGTGGCAGAGAGGGAGTAGAAAAGTGTGTGCGTGTGAGGGACACTGAGTGTGTTTACATGCGCTCAATAATCCGATCATAATTGGATTTCTGCAATCTGATTATTCAAATGGTCATGTAGACAGCACACTCCGAAGGGAAATCTGATAAAGAGGCTGGATTTTAGCTCAGTAATCAGATTTCTCAGTGCTGTAAACTCTTACTCTGATTTCTTTCGGATTCTCTCAGTCTGTGCATGTGCGAAACAGACGGCGGTACCGGAAATAAGCGAGCAGAACCCTTTTGGAGCAACGCTGAAACCAAATACATGCTTGACGAAATGTGAGTCTGTGAGTTTATTGGCTGGTTGCAAAGCAGAAATCTGATTACTGTCTGACTCATGTAGGCTCATGTAGAGTTTCCCCATTATCTAATTACTCAAGTGCATATAAACGCGTTGATCAGATTACTGATAAAATCTGATTTATCGGATTATTGAGCGCATATAAAGACACTCATTGATACATTTTCAACGGCTATGGGGGTGCACAGTGCTGTGCAAAAGTCAGAGACCACCTTTTATTTATTTATTTTCCAGCCAAAACGCCTGTTTAGCACAAGTTATTCGTTTTTCAGAAAAAAAGCAGAAAACATATTTAACTGACCACGCCTCCAAAGTTCAGTCTTAGAAGCTGGTTGATCATTTTCTGAAGTAATCAAACACATTCAGTGGTGTTGAGGTCTGGACCCTGGGGTGGTCAGTCCATCGTTCAGCTTCTTTGTTTGATGTGTCCGTCTCCTTTTCTCAGTGAGGTTCTTCTTGATCAGCTACACATCCTTTCAGACCCACAGCGCTGAGTCGTCTTCTCACAGTGGAAGGATGGACAGAAACACCTGTGGATGTTTTCAGATCTGAAGCAGCTTGATTTTCTCCTCTCTCTCAGAGATGAGAGCTTTAAGTGCTGTTTATCTGATGGGGGCAGTTTTGGGGGCTACCAGCTCTTCCAGGTGGTTGTTAGGAGGAACATTTTCTCTGTAGCTGTTATTCTCCTTTGACTTTCTCGTCCCTTATGCAATCTAATATCTTCTTAGAAATAAATCCTGAGAAAATAACTTAATAGTCATTGGACTGTTCCTCTCGCTGTCTTACTGCCTGTCTCAGCTTCTTCTAGTGTTTCTATCTCTCTCTCTCCCCCTATTATTTCTCTCTCTGTCTCATCACTGTGGAATGAGAATAGCTCCCTGCTCGTTGCTGTGCGTCACTGGGTAGAGAGAACGCTTTTAATGGAAGGCTTTCAGTCTCTCTGCGCTCTACGTTTCTCTCTACGTTTAGCACCGCAGGGTTCATAAATGCGTGAGAGCTCATAAAGCTGACCAGCTCAAGGTTTTTCCCGAGACAGTGTAATGAATGGAGTCTATGCTGGTGGAGTTACATAAAACATAAATATACAGTCTCCTAAAGGCCATGATGCCAAAATCATATACCTGTGAGATACTATGCTGCTCTCTTGCGCACACTGGGGCACCATAAGGGCTATTTAAACTTAAGCCAGTCTGCCCAATACCCACTTACCTCGCTGCTAAGAATGACTTGCCTACAATCTTAAAAAAGATGGTTCTTCAAGGGTTCTTTAGTGTAGAATAGGGTTTGGCAGTATGAGGCTCTGGAGCTACATGCAGCTCTTTTACTGCCCTGTCTCATCCAGCTAGTAGCTAACAAAACAGGCCAAGAGAAAGATTTAAGATGAACATTGATAATTTGGTGACGAATTACTTATTTGTGTTTATAATCACTCCAACTGGTTTCCTGGTACGTTTAATCTGCAACGAGAAACTGTCAAACTCTAAAAAGTCCTGAAGTTGAAGTCAGTTTCTCATTCGCCAGCTTCTTGTTCAGATTTTCCCGTTCCACCTTAAATGGTGCACCAATTACATCCTGGCACCTCAGGTACCATTTAAGGTGGAACGGGAAAATTAGAACAAGAAGCTGGTGAATGAGAAGCGACTTCAGCCTCGTAAAAAGCAAACATTGAGAGACATTTGACAAGAAACTGTTCTACTTTTGAGGAAAAGTTTCCTGCTGGAGATGCGAGAAAAGCAGCTCTAGCTGAGCTGAAGCTTAAAGCAGAGCAAAGTAAGTCTGCGTTTTCATTTATATTGTGTTTGAAGCCTCTACTAGTGCATCAGCACATGCTGAGACATATTTACAGCCACAATGGTGAAACATACTTCAATAAAATGGACATAAAATGTTGTGGCTCCCGAAATGGTTTGATTTTTTTTTTTCCCCCAAAGAACATAATGGCTCTTCTTAGCATTTGGGTTGCGACCCCTGATATAGACAATGGTTCCATATAGGACCACTCAAAGAACCATTTGCATGGTTAAATGGTTCTTGGCATGGTGAAATGGTTTAGATTGATGGAGAATGTGTTGCTGTTCAGCTTAGTTTACAACACTTCTCGCTTTTCTGGCCCTTCTCCTCTGCAACAGCACTTCATTATCCTAATTTAATACATTTTTTTTATTAGAGTTTTAATTATCCTAATTTAATTTTTAACTGTCCTATTTTAATTTTTAATTTCAATTTTAATTATCCTAATTTTATTTGTAATTAGAATTTTAACCATGATAATTTAATTTGTTTTTTTATCCTAATTTAATTTAATTTATCCTGATTTTATTTTTAATTTGATTTTTAACTGTCCTAATTTAATTTTTAATTCGATTTTTATAAATATCCTAATTTGATTTTTAGTTTTATGAATTTTCTTTTAAAATCTATTATTTTAATCATGTCTTAATCAAGTTTTTAATTTCTTTTCTCCTTTACTTTGTTTTTCTATTCTCCTTTATTTTTTAAATGACTTTTTAAAATGTATTTTCTCATTTGTAAAGCACTTTGAATGACAGCAGTGTGTGTGAAAGGTGCTACATAAATAGCACCTTGCCTTGTATACGGTAGCACCTTGCCTTGTATATGGTTCTATACAGCACCAAAAGAGTTCTGCTGTTTCGATGTCAAGCTTGCAATGATAGAAGAACCCTTTTTGTTGCTATATGGAACCACTGTCAAAAAGGCTCTATATAGAACTAGCAAATGCAGAGTGTATGCCATTCTTTTGGTTGTATCTCCAAAATACATTGAGAACCTGTCACCTGATTAATTGTGTATTTTTTGCATGATCTTAATGACGTTCTGGCCTAAATAAATTTGAGTAAATGCTTTAAAATTTTACTTAGAAAAAAAATAAAGAAGTTGATGTCAGCAGCCAGTAAGTACTCAGCATATGTGGCGCTTCTTCAAGCATTCATATTCACTTGTGCATTAAACTATCCTGATAGTTATTCATGAATTCAGAATAAAACATCACAGCTGACAGATTCAGTGCAAATGGCCAGTGAGTAGCCACAGCTTGATAAGTGATATTACTGACCTTGTGCAGTATGTTTGTACGTATTTATGTATTTATTTATTTATTTAGAGCTCTGGACATCTTGTCCTGACCACTGCCAAGTCAGACTCTTCACTGCTAAGCAGAGCTCGGTTTGCCAAAAACATTACAACACAACTGTTACCACTACAGTCAACACAAAGTTGGAAATATGGCCGAACCGCTCTCCTGCCCGAGAGTGAAATCTGCTTATAGGAATGTAAACGTAACCCGTCCTCTGCTGGGTTAACGCTGTCCCTCGTCCCTCTCTCCTCTCGTCTGTCTGACAGGGTTCTGGAGCGGATAGGCGCACGAGCGCTGGTGGCGCATGTCCGCACGTTTGCGGATTTCCTGGTGTACGAGTTCTCCACGTCAGCGGGGGGGCAGCAGCTGAACAAATGCATCGAGATCCTGAACGACATGGTGTGGAAATACAACATCGTCACTCTGGACCGCCTCATCCTCTGTCTGGTGAGGAATCGCCAAAACTGTGTGGTCACAAAATCTGTACAGAAACGTACAGCTGAGTCTTTCTATGGAAACATCCATTTTTGTGTCCCTAGTGTTTACAGATATATTAGACTTGAAAAACATGTTGGGGTTACAATTTATTTATATTTCAAAATAAAACAGCAAGTTATTTTAACAATTACGCCTTCTTGAGACTCAATTTAGCAATATTGGTTTTTAAATTAATCATATAGAATTCCAAGCGCCACAGAAGAGCTCGTCCCCACAGTCATGTGTGAAGGCTGAGGCCATATTTTGAGGCAAAAAACATGTTTTTCTGCAGTTTTAACTACAATAATCTATACATGGCTATGAAATATATGATTTAAGTGACTTAAAGAACACAAATGGCAAATAAGTATTATAAAATATATAATAAAAGTCCCCAGGAGTCGTGTCACTGGTGTTACCGCGTAACAAAAAATCTCTTATTTTGAAATAAAAGTCACACTGATGACATCACTTGACTTCCTTTTACCTGTTTTCTGAGGATCTATGAAGAAAAGCACATGGTGAGTCTACTGTGTCTTTCAGTTATCAGAGATTTTCTCATGTAGCTCATGATTTCATATGAAGCTTTCAGCTGAAGTCACCGGTGTGACCGACACCAGTGAGGATCAGTAACACCAGTGACTCCTATGGAGAGAGAGAAAAGTGGACGTTTCTGTAGAATGACCCAGCTAAAACAGCTCGGTGTGGAGCATTTGCCGGCAATTTTCTTTTCTTTACTAATGGATTTTAAAGTACCTCTGAAGTGCCATTCGTTTAACATGATTGCGTGGGGGGTGATGATGGAAAGAAACGGGGGTCTGGGTTTCGAATTTGACATGAAGAACTAAGCAGGTCCATTATGTGGATGTTTTTGTCCCTCTTTTTATGTTCGTATTAGTAAAAATGCTTCTTCAGCAGCCATTTTAGCCACGCTCCTAAAAAAGATGGTGCTTCTAGGGTTCTTTAGTAAAGAAAACGGTTCTATATGGAACCATGAACACTGCATGATTAAAGGGTTCTTTGCATCATGAAAGGCATCCTCAGACCGATGGAGAATGCGCTATGGTTCTGTATAGAATCATTTTGAAAATGGTTCTGTATAGTACCCAAATAGGTTCTTATATTGTTCTATGTAGAACCGTCTAAAGCACGTTGATGCACACTTTCCATCAAACCGAAGAACCCTTTCATGATCATGCATGGGGTTCTTTGAGTGTTCATGGTTCTATATAGAGCCATTTTCTTTACTGAAGAGCCCTCAAAGAAGTGTGTAAGATTTATGTATTACCTATCGTAATAGCTACACTCTTAAAGGGTTCTTTAGTAAAAAAAAAACAAAATATTGGTTCTATCTAGCACCCAAAAGGGTTCTGTCAAGCTTGTAACAGTACAAGAACCTTTTTCCACTTTCCGTCAATCCAAAGAACCCTTTCATGATGGAAAGAACCCTTTAATCATGCAAAGGGATTTTTGAGTAGTGCTGGTTCTATATAGAACCATTTTCTTTACTAAAGAACCCTTGGAGAACCATCTTTAGCTGTGTCAGTTCTGCTGAAATCGTTTCAGTCTCCTGTGGACACAGAAGGACGTTCAGTCCTTTGTTGGGGGATCGATTGAACTGATCGATATATCAGCATATCTTGTGGTCATATGAGAAGTTAATACATGCAAAGCGTTGCTGGAAGCAATGAATAGCAAAGTGCCTTGCATTGAATTTTAGAATGAGGAGGATGGAAGGGGCGACTAGTAAGAAACAAGGAGTGGATTTTCAGCAGCAGAACATGTGGAACCGTCAACAGAACTGTGGAGTCAGTATTTTCAGCAAAAAAAGTGTTAAATAATTAACAAAAAGAAATCACTGCAGGCGTTTCTGTCATTTTATTGCTGAACACACCTGCCCTGATTTGTTCCCCTGTGAACCACCTGTGGGGCAAGAGTTTCAGCTGAGTGATCAATACTTCTCCCACGATACACCACACGCTCTGATAGCTCCCAATCGATGGAGAACGTCAGGAGTAATTACCAGGGAAGCTTTCCCTGCTGTCAGCATGTGACCCCAGCCGAATGGGCCTTTATTGATAAATGAGGCGTTTGTTGAACAGGGTTTTATTACATTGTATGTGCTGATGTATCAGAGCTGTCTGGACTCAGTGGTAGTAAAACATCATCCTGTACCAAAAAGAGCAGCGATAAAATTGTACTGTGTGAATTTTAAAGATAGAGAGAGGCTGAAGCTGCTCTGAGGAGCCTCAGATACTGAGCTGCAGGAATCTGTGGTGAAACAGATCAGTTGTTTTTGCTCAGTGGTATTAAAGACCAGACAGGATGTTTCTGTATTGTTATTTGGGTCGTTCTAGAAATGTCCATTTTTGTGTCCCTAGTGTTTACAGATATATTACACTTGAAAAACACGTTAGGGTTACAATTTCTTTATATTTTAAAATAAAATAAGTTATTTTAGCAGTTACATCTTCTTGAGCCTCAATTAGCAATATTGGTTTTTAAATCAATTATCTAGAATTCCAAGCACCACAGAAGAGCTCGTCCTCACAGTCATGTGTGAAGACTGAGGCCATATTTTGAGGTAAAAAACATGTTTTTCTGCAATTTTAACTACAATAATCTATACATGACCATGGAATATATAAATTTAATGACATAAAGAAAACAAATGGCAAATAAATATTATAACATATATAATGAAAGCCCCAGGAGTCGTGTCATCACACTGATGACGTCACGACCTCCTTTTACCTGTTTTCTGAGGATCTATGAAGAAAAGCACATGGTGAGTCCACTGTGTCTTTCAGTTATCAGAGATTTTCTCATTTAGCTCATGATTTCATATGAAGCTTTTAGCTGAAGTCACTGGTGTGACCGACTTTATTCTGAGGTAATTGTGAAAAAATGGAATATAAATGGATTAAATTACATATTTTAGTGGATGTTCCATGATTGACAACATGAGGTTTGATGCTCTGTAGCAGTTATTTGGTAAAATGCATTTTTCATTAAAATGTCTCAGGTGTTACTTTTATTATGTGTAACACCGATGAGGATCAGTAACACCAGTGACTCTTATGGATAGATGAAAAAAGTGGACGTTTCTGTAGGATGACCCATTTACTCTCACACTGTAATACACTGAAATATCTCTGCGCTGTATTAGGGGGGGCCTTACTTTGGCTAAAGAGCCTGATATTTACTTTTATATATTTATAGTACATTATATTTTAATCCAGTATTTCGCTGTTGTCGGAACAAAACCTCGTATCTCCAAAATGGTAACTTTACAGGAGAAGGGAAAACATACTTTACTTTTAATGTAAGTCACTGGAACCAGATTTTTTTCCAAATAATTTTGGGTCGTTTCTTTTGGTCCATTCATCATAAAATTTACACACAATGTAAAGGCCAACAGGTATTTTCAAATTATGTCAAAAACTGAAAAACGACAAAAATGGAAATACAAGGTTTTGTTCCGACAGCAGCGACTTGTGTCATCTATTTCAAAAATTCACCAAATATGTCACTTTCTACACTTTTATGCTGCTGAGAATCTTCAAATATGACCACATAGTCCTTTGAAACTTAGTGGGAACTTTCCATGAATAGTTAAATTTATGTCCTGTTATCTTTTTAAAAGCAATAAAGTGACTAGTTTTATTTCTGTATAAAGTGAAGGGATCAGTACTTTAACCTAAAATTAAACTGATCAAAACCACCTAAAATGTCTGTATCCACCTTTCATATAGTGATTTCGAGCCGTTCCACCTCACTGACATTGACCTTCTTTGTGAAATCTATTCATTAAAATCTTCCAGAAACACCATAATTACATTATTTGTAAGTTTGGAACTGTTTCATTTTATTTCATGTTAAATGAATTTAGAATGATTTTTCCTTTTGAATTTATTTAATTCAGCAAAAAGGTATTTTAACCTGTGTCACACATTTTATACCTTGTTTCCCAAAACCTGTTCCCCTCGTAAAATAAATATAACATTCCATTTATTATGAAATATACAGAAAGCTGCATCACATTGTTGTTTTCTCCAGGATGACCAAATGACAGATCAGTTTTCTTATTCTGTTTTCTCAGTTTACACACAAAGAATTGATTAAGCTGCATGGGTAAAACATATTTTCAGTGGAAATGAAATAAAACGTGGCTTGAAACAAAGATTTTAATGAAAACATCTTGATTAAAGCAAATTTTCAACTTTCCCTTCTGCTCAATTTTATGTACTTAGTTTTTTGCAGTGCATTAATATTGACTTAATGGGGAATATGATCTCGACCCAGTCATTTATGGTAAAACGGCGCAAATCGTCTCTGTTTTGGCCACCTGAGGTGGGAAAATAACGTTCAGAATGTTAATAATTGTTTATGAGGAAATAATTATTTTATTTTCCATAAACTAATTTAGTTATATATAATTATTTAATTATGTTTAATGACTATTTTACCTACTTTGATTGATATTTTACTACAATTTTCAGGTGTTTCGAGAAATAAAACTAATTCTATTCACGGAAAGTGTCATTGATCCAGCAGAACAGTCTCAGGTCCTTGAATTGAGAGTCGTGTCTTGGATGTTGTGCAGCTTCATTGTGAGGATTTTTGCACGCTATGGAATTTGTGATTAATTTTTTTTTCGTCCTCTCTGTTTGTTGTTGCCTAGGCAATGAGGAGTCATGAGGGGAACGAGGCGCAGGTTTGCTACTTCATCATCCAGCTTCTTCTCCTCAAGCCCAACGACTTCCGCAACCGCGTCAGCGACTTCGTCAAGGAGAACGCTCCGGAGCACTGGCTGCAGAGTGACTGGCACAACAAACACATGACCTACCACAAGGTAACTTTACCCAAGACCCCAGCACAGATCCTACCAACAGGGTCCTCCCCCCAAAATCCTCACTCCTTCAGAGGTTGCTCCAGTCTGTCTTTCTCTGAGAAACAGAAAACATAGAAAACATTAAATGTAAATGTTTCTCTTGGTTCCTGGTGGTTTTGTAAAGTGTTTTGGCTTTAGTTGGCAGGTTGAGATCACTCTGTAAAGCAGGGCTGTCAAACTCAACGAGTAAAAGGGTCAGTCTCAATAAATCTGTGGGCCAAAGAAAAAATGTTTTTATTTCATTTTTAATTAATGATGTGCTGCAACCACAACTGGCCATTGTTTATTCAAAATTTGCAAAAATATCAACAGTAAAATACAGACACTTGTAGTAGACCTTGAAACATTACATGAATACATGATATATTCAAAATGTAAATGTTCCCAGGTGCTCAGTCTTTTAAATCTACCTATCTGCTTGAACTAGACACCTGCCATCCTTTCTTTACTGCAAGTTCATTTAGCCTTTTCAACTCCTTGAGACCACCGGTGGTTCCAAAACGCACTTCGTCATATTCCTCGTAACTTTCATATTTCATAAGCTACATTCTAAAGGTGGGGGTCGTATGAGAGCTGTAACTGTCTTCTCTCCAGTCAAATAGATGGGTGTTGTCATTTTAAACCCTTATAATAAAAGAAGCTGAACTTTTCTACTGAAAGTCGACCCATTTTTCCACAAATCTGGGCTATAAACTATGAACAGATGGCGTCTCTTCAGTGATCTGCTCTGTACAAAATATTTTTAGAAAAAAATACAAAGAGCGTCTCAGATTTTTGGCTTTCAGCAGTAAATTGTAAGCATATAGCAATATGTGTGATCATAAAACACATGTTCTGTTAATTTGAGGGGAGCTTTTTTTACAAAATAAATAAATAAATAAATAAAAATGTACATTCATGCAGTTACTGAATAATTTGCCTTACGATTTGGTCATGTAAATTCAGATGGAAAAACCAAAATATACTCTGGAGAATAAGAGGTTAGACTTGTCAGCTGAGCTGACATTTGGTGTTTATGTTGGTTGAACCGCTGCTGAAATGCAGTTAGTGTGTTTGGTGATATGCCTGGTGTGCAACTGTGTAGAATTGAGGTGTAACCGCTGTCCCATAGACAGTTGTTGGGGTAGGAGAGTCGGTGTGAACATAACATTGCAGTGCATGCTGGGGACTGTAGTGCAGCGCATTGTAAAACAGGCTAATATTAATAGAAAATTAAAATACTAGATAAAAAAAAATACTACACAGTAGAAAATTGTGTCAAGGGCCTGATCTGGCCTTGTGTTTGACACATGGGCTGTAGAGGATACTAATGGTTTAACAAGTGACCTGTGAATGATTCTAGATGCATTTTCTAATATGACGCCACTGTCGGAACAAAACCTCGCATCTCCAAAATGGTAACTTTACAGGAGAAGGAAAGAACATAATTTACTTATTATGTGAGTCAGTGGAACCAGAAATTTTTCCAAGTAATTTTGGGTCGTTTCTTTTGGTCCATTCACCATGAAATTTTCACACAATATAAACTGCAACAAGCATTTTCAAATTATGTCAAAAAATGAAAAACGACAAAAACGAGGTTTTGTTCTGACAACAGCGATGATCTAAAGCTGTTCTAGGTTTTAATCCTAGTAGTTCTAATAGTGTTTGGGATAATGGGATAGCAGACACGTCGAGATCTGTAGGATCACTATACCCAACACACAGTCGGCAACATTGCCAGTACTGGTTGGATGCTAGTAGGGTTCCTGTTAGCATTGCTCAAAGCCTCTCATGCTAGCCGGACCTCACTAGCTTGCATTCATTATTGGCAGTTTTTGGTGAAGTACTCCTGTGACCAGCTCAAGTGCCTGCCATTGCAGAGAGACGCAGGAGTGTGTTTGTAGTTGATGAATGTATTAATAATGTATTCCAGACTAGCTGCATTCATCTGAATAGATACTCCCAGCCGAATGAATAACATTTCAGAACAAAAAGCCCTTCAGAGCATATTATTACCCAGATTGCACGCAGCCTCTGAAATACCAACAGTTCAGTTCTGGCTCCTTTTTCCCCTCTGCTCTGTTATTGCGCTGACATTTCAGAAGTTGCAGCGTCTGCCCTCGCTTTGCTCGCTGTGTAACTGTGGTAAATGTTAGTGAAAGAAAGTTCAATCCCAAACCACCTCCTGACCCCTTACCCGGACCCCTTCGTCTCACCCTTAGAGCAGTGAAGGGACTGGGTGTATCCGTTGCCTCATTTAGCAGGGTACACCGTTTTCTCCACTAACAATGGGACAAAGGATATGTAAGGAAAGTGATTCAGGCTGATTTAAAAACCTTTGGTAGACTTAAAAATGGTGTTTTTTATTGGACATTTATGTATTATGTCCCTGTGGAACCTTAAAAAGCTTGAAAACATAAATTTAGCTTTTGATATTCAAGGTCTAAAAATGTCTGATCATCTGGGATTGTTAGGGGGAGGCATCCATTGATCTGGGGCAGAATGAAGTCATTTTACCCTCATTTTATATCCCACAACACTAAGTTTGTTTACATGCACTTAATCAGCCGATAACTGCAGAAAATCTGATTTTCTCAGGAATCTGATCAACGCGTTTACATGATCTTGAATGATCAGATAATGGGAAACTCCAGGTCTACATGAGTCACGGGTGTACAAAATATGGAATCGGATGAATCTTTTTGAATCACCCTGTATTTCTGTTTTGAATTCAGTAAAACTCAATAACTTAACAGTGTATACTGTAGTCTAGGTTGTAGATTTGCCACAGTAATGGTATTATTTTGTCCTTTTAGAAGTGTTAAAAAGGTCTTAAGTGATTAAATTTGTATTTTAAAATCTGCAGATCGCTTTTCGGTCTGCCATCCCAGAAACTGTGAAATTTTAAGTTAAAATAAATGTTACTTTTTACAGAAAGCATCTGATTCTAGAGGCTGTTTGGATTTACTGCTTGATGCATCACTGGCTTTACTGAAGATGTTCACATCCAAACTGTAGCGTCTAAAGTACTTAAATGTCTGTTACTAGCTTCAAATACATGTTTAGGATGGTTCTTCATGCGTTCTTTAGTAAAGAAAATGGTTCTACAAAGATCCATGGACACTCGAAGAGCCATCTGCATGCTTAAAGTGTTCTTTGTGTGGTGAAATTGTTTCTTTAGATTGATGGAGAACGTGCTGTATGATTTGAAAAGGGTTCTGTATAGCATCATAAAGGGTTCTTTCTATTACAAGCTTGACATCATAACAATAGAAGTCTTATAGAACCCTTTTCAAAAATGTTCTCTATAGAATCATCTACAGCACATTCTCTATCATTCTGAAGATCCCTTTCATCATGCAAAGAACCCTTTAAGCATGCAGATGCATTTTCAAAGTTTATTATAGGAAGTAACCAGGCTCTGTTCAAGAGTCCCAACAATCCAGAGAGAGATCACAAATCAGATTTTGCTTAGGTGCAAAATATTATTTTAAACGTCACCAAAAAAATTCACCATTCGCTTTCATTCCTTTGGCCTGTTGTGTAAATGTTATTTAAGGTGTCTCAAATTAAATGTAGGTCAAACTAGAAAACTGGGAACTGTAGAGTTTCTGGCGAAAAGATGAAAAATACATGCTCTGCTGTTCTGGAGGGAGAAAGCCTTCATCCTTCAGAGTGAACTAGAGTGAGAATGTGGAATGAGCCGTCCTGAGCTCCACCCAGGACATGACTGATCTCGTTTGGCCTGTAAAAACAGCTTCAGTGATTTTGTGACTGGAGTAGAATCTGCTAAGATTCAGCCGTTGCTTATAGCAATACAGGCTTAACCGGTTCACTTCAGACCAGAACACCATTACCCTGCGTTCACACCTGCAGCGACTTCTCACCTCTTGTCGCCCAAATCGCTGAACGCTCATCGCCTGTTGGCATTTCTGAACTCCAGTTGGTTCCGTTGGTTGCTATGGTTTAGTCCCCGTGTCTGTGCAGTCGGTGAGGAAAACGCTGTTTGGTCTTAATTTAGCGATTACTGTCTGTTTGCTGCACCACCATTATTCCATCTCTAGTAGGAACAATTTTTAGCCAAAAAAAATTGTGTGTACTTCGCTGCTGAACCAGAGAACTTGTAGAGAGGAGAATTTCCACTCTGTAACATCTTCCGGGTTTCTCAGACACTAGAGGGCGCTCCCGAGCAGGTACAAAATGAATGGGTTAATATGGAGCATTTGAGCAAAATTGTAGTTTATAAATGCTTAAATATTTTAATGTAAATGAATACATTCATTTCCTGAACAGCATAAAACATTTTAACACCGCTGTTATATTTTTAAGAGCTTTTAAACTCGAATTATAGGAGTTTAAAACGGAGCCTCGTGTACGTTCATAACGTCTGTGAGCACAAACAGCCAACCAGTCAGCACTCAGTAGCAGTAATGTTGGCATCCTGCTGTTCAAACCCGTTTGCTGTAGAATAAAGAAAAAACATACAGGTGAGATTTCTTTGCTTTTTTAGTGAAATGCATCCTTCTACTTTCTAAAATGAAAGGAAAGTTCTGTGTAAGTGATTAGAAACTATTTTTACTTTCCATTTTTAGCTGTTGAGCTGCATTTGCTCCCACTTGCTCGTGGGCGCCCTCTGCTGTTTTGCAGTCCTGTTTTTGATATAACGGTGGAAATAGGAAGTGGCCAGACTCCTCATAAACTGGCTCTGGCTGAACGCTCAATTCCTGCTGGTAATCGTCATGTCGCTTCACTCCTTATTTACATAAAGTCAATCTCCGCTCCACTTTGTCGCCTCGCCGCCCACTGCGCGTTGCCAGTGTTTGCACTGCCTCCTGTTGCTGGAAATCGGCAGCTCTCTTTGGAAAAAATGACCTCTGGCCGCTTTGTCATCTGCCGGTTTGAATGCAGGGTTATGGTAAAAATGACAAAAATATGCAAAATGCATCAGCTTTAGGTTTTGCTTGTTTGGTGAATGTGACAATTGCACATTGACAGCTATATCAGTCAGAAAAGGACTTTAGCTGAAACTGGAGTCTGTTTCAGTTTTGACCATATGAATTTACATTTAATTTACATTTAAATTAAAATCAGTATCCATATTGGTGGCAGCTTTCAGATCTCTCTCTCTCTCTCTCGCTCACTCTCTGTTACTCTCTCCACATGCAGAAGTACCCAGAGAAGCTGTACTTTGAGGGTCTGGCGGAGCAGGTGAACCCCCCTGTGCAGCTCCAGCCACAGTACCTGCCCATCTACTTCGGGAACGTGTGTCTACGCTTCCTGCCCGTCTTCGACATCGTCATCCATCGCTTCCTGGAGCTGCTGCCCGTCTCAAAGTCCCTGGAGACCCTGCTGGACCACCTTGGGGGCCTCTACAAGTTCCATGGTGAGGGGGAAGTGATTCAAAAGTCTAACGATTTAATGAAAAGCTTAGCAGGTGATGTTATGCAGAGAACTGTAGGTGGTCACTGTTACCTTTGTAGCCGTACAAGTCAGGTTAGTTAACCCTCCTGTTATCCTCAGATTTACTAACATCTTTTGTCCTTGGGGTAAGTTAAATCCCTCAATTTAAACCTCATATCAAATATCAAACCTCATATCAATATCAAAGTTGTAGTGGGAGTTTTGTTCTCCTTAGCCCCGTGTGGTGTGGTTCTCGCACTACTACAACTATGGAGATGTTAGGTTAGGACTTTAAAGCAAGGGGAAGTTTGTTAAAGATTACAAAATTGCATGTTATAATGACCTCAGTGTCCAAAATTTCAAAATATATGTGTGTAATATGTTGACATTTCTTACTTTTTATAACCTCAAACCTAAACCGAAAGCCTGGGGTCAAATTGACCTCAAAGAACAGTGATGCGTACAAAATGTGTACAGGACATTAAACCCATCATCATGTCTATTTTATCTTTACCTAGTTGTCTCCATTAAATTAGGAATATTTATTAAATATGAAGTAAGAAATTATGTCATTCATTTATTTAGAGACATTAAACTGACGCCAAGGATAATAGGACAGTGTTTAGCAACATGAGGCTCTTTTACTGTCCTGTTGTGGCTCCACAGCTGAATCAGATTTGTAGGTAAAAATAAAATAATCCTCCTTTACAGTAAAATAAAGCTCTGCTGATCGTTCAACACAGTTTAACAATAAATGGTCTTAAACTCTGGAGTTAATGTAGAACTGCTGATTCACCCTTTAACCCTGAAGATCAGCGCAGACCGCTGGTCACCATAGCAACACAGACAACAGTCTCGCCTAGCTAGTAGCTAACGAAACGGCAAAGAGAGAGATTTAAGATGAACATCGATAATTTGGAGATGAATGGACTTATTTGTGTTTATAATCACTCCTGCTGGTTTCCTGATACGTGTAATCTGCAACGAGAAACTGACAAACACTACAAAGTCACGAAGCTGAAGTCGCTTCTCATTCGCCAGCTTCTTGTTCGAATTGTCCCGTTCCACCTTAAATAGTGCAGTCGTTACATTCTGGAACCTCAGGTGTCATTTAAAGTGGAACAGGAATATTTGAACAAGAAGCTGGCGAATGAGAAGCGACTACAGTCTCGTAAAAAGCGAACATTGAGAGGCATTTTACAAGAAACTGTTCAACTTTTTGTGTAAAGTTTCCTGTCAGAGATGTGAGAAAAGCAGCTATAGCTGAGCTAAAGCTTAAAGCAGAGCGAAGTAAGTCTGTTTTCTGTTATAGTATTTTTTGTCAGTCTATTCTGGCACATCAGCACACACTGAGACACATTTACAGCCAAGATGGTAAAATGGACATAAAGTGTTGAGGCTCCCAAGGTGTTTAGATTTTTGTTGAAAGGACAAAATGGCTCTTCTTAACATTTGGGTTCCAGACTCCTGTAATAGAGACTCAGATCATTGCCTTTAGCTCTGTATGGTTTTCATGCCCTGTATGGTACATAGAACCACTTTATGTAACGTAACATGTAATGTTAAGCAGATCGGTGCCGTGTTGCGTAACTGCTGTTGATGTGTGTTCAGATCGGCCGGTGACGTACCTTTACAACACCCTGCACTACTACGAGAGGCACCTGCGCGACCGCACCAATCTGAAGCGCAAACTGGTGCACGCCATCATGAGTTCACTGAAGGATAACCGCACGCCTGGCTGGTGCCTCAGCGAGACCTACCTCAAATTCGGCATGAATCCCCGCGACGACAACGTCTGGATCCCAGATGACACCTACTACTGCAAACTCATCGGCCGCCTAGTCGACAATATCCTTCAGCCAGCCGCTTTGGGAGCTGCTAAAAATTCTTCAGTGCCTTTAGATTTAAAGTTGTTGTCACATATTATAGGAATTCTGTTTTGTGCATGCACTGATCGAGTTCACTGTAGAGGGTGCTGTTTGCATTGTACAATGTAATCCACCATACACTCAGGCCTGATCCCATTTCTTATTTTTACCCTTGCCTTTGTTTTCGAGTGTCTCCTTGCCCCTTGGAACTGAATTCTTCCCTACAAAATGGGATCATCAAATAAAAAAAGAGCATTACTTCATTAACAGCTACCAGCGCTGCTCTGTAGGCGACGCTGCCAGTCTGCAGTGACAGCAGAGGAGGGTAAAGTTCAGCTCCTCACTGCTGGGCTTTAGTTACATTTAGGGCATCATATGCCTTCAAAGAGGGGGGCAATTATTTATTATCACCCACCCCTAATTCTTCAGTGATGAAGCTGAAGTCAGATATTCACCAGCTTCTTATTCAAATTTTCCCATTTGCCGTTAACCATTTAAGGTGGAACGGGAAAATTAGTGAGCTAACTACCGAGACATCAGCGTTTTATGAGCGTTTTTTAATGCTTGTTATGAAGAACAGAACCATAATACACTGAAACAACATTAAACTACGATAAAACAATTATTATCGTGATTTTTAACAGAGAAAATTCTCACATTTGTGGGTTTCTTTGGTCTGTTTCTCAGCCATCTTGCCGGTTTTCTTTTTTTATCGCGACACTCTGTTTGGAGTGAGTCTCTGAAAAACCCTAACACCTCGCCCTACCCCTCTATCTCAGAAAGAATCGGGACACTCTGCCCCTAGACGTGAACAGGGAGGGGCGAGGGGTGAAATGGGATTGGGCCTTCACTTTCCAAAGGGATTCTAATACAATCGAGTACATTTTGTTTGTCAGTTTGCAGAAAATTAACATATTTAAGGCTAACTAGGGTTATCTGATAGGGTATCATGTGCAAATATTTGGAACGGTAACTAAAAACTAACACGTAGTGCTGTGGACTGGCAGAAATCATGCTCATGTGCAGTAAAGCATTTAGAAAAGCTTCACCCTGTCTTTGGTGGGCAGTCTACATACCCAGATAGACAATATTATGTGTAATCAGGTGTGAAGTGTATATACTGTACATGCCCCTACAGACTTGTGAGTCTTTTCCTTAATGAGTGCTACCGATGGCTGGGAAGTCTCCAGGTCCATTTCCCAACTGTGACTGGCGCTTTAATGAGTTTCCGAATCCAGCAGCACACGCGCTTCACGTGACCTGCGTAGAGCTGATGGCCCTCGCCGTGCCAGGGAAAGACGTGGGAAACGCGCTGCTCAACGTTGTGCTCAAGAGGTCTGATATCATCATCACAGCAGCTCATTAAAAAAATGATTTAAAGGGCTCTTATCATGGAAAACCTTTCCTTGGAGCATGGAAACTAGTTCTATGTGGTCCATATATGGAAGTTAAGCTGCAATAAATACAGAAATCCACCCGTTCAGTCTATAGCGGTTTAGCACCACCTTTTCATGATGAAGTTCTGAGTAGTTTTTGAATGAGACGCAATACAGGGCAGCCTATTGTGTCAGTCTTTAAAGGCACAAAAACAAAAATGGCCTTTTAAGGCTAAAAAGAGCTGAGAAAATTGTCATGTTAAAATAATCTGACTGTTTTTGGTGCATATAAAATACAAGAAAAATGCAGGATAAAGGGCTTTAATTACAACGATAGGAGTCTGTCTAAGGTTTGATTGTATCACATTATATTTGTTGATATTGTAGATTATCAATAATTACCTCCTTATAATCGGCATTAGTGACAAAATGTTTTTATCGACTCGGCCCTAATTGTTGGAGCCGGGCCTTCTTTATGAAAAGCCACTGATTTGTAGTTTGATGGTCTTTGTCTTCTGTGTCTCCTACAGTCAGCCTTTGGTTCCCTCGTGAGAACGTGACAGCGTGGATGAACGCTATTGGGCTGGTCATCACTGCTCTGCCTGTACGGCCAGTTCTCTCTCTCTCTCCCTCTCCCTCTCCCTCTCCCTCTCTCTCCCCCCGCCCCCTTCCTTCTTGCAGTCTTTTAACCGAGAAACTTACTAGATCCAATGTCATGCCATTATTGATTGTAATCTTCATTTTTTGCTTGCTGGCCAGGTTCAGATACACAATTAAAAAACAATAATAATAATAAATGCATAAATATCTTCAGTAAGTAAATGAGCACCTTTCCTGGGAAACTCCTTGCATTTAGGCCACAATCATGAAATTTTTGCTAATGATTAACCGCCATATAAATAACTGCAATTTAATAGTTTTTTGTTTTATTTTTATTTTAAGTACAAGCCTTAAGTGGCCAAACTGGTCGACTATTTTACTTCGTAGCTGTCGATATTTAGTACCACCAAACTGACGACAGACTCAGCTCGAACTCAAATAAACAAACATCACTCACCGCTGCCCTCTAAAGGTGTTGTAGCACCAGCCTGAATTGTTTGAAATATGTGTTGTTTTTGTAAAGGCCGATTTATAGTCCAGACAACAAAAATGACACAAAATAGACAAAGTTGTGTCTGCTAGGGTTGCAGACCTTGTCGCATACTCTAAAAAATTTTGATTAGATTGATTGAGTCTGACTGGATGGCACTCAAAATTCTGCGTTCTGGATTGTTGCCGTGGGCTGTGTCTACTTTCTTGCTTTTCCAGGTTGCCAGCTATTCAGAACTAGGATCCATATACATTTATAGGACGATTTGTCTTAATTTCCAAACATTTTTCCACGACTGCGATTACAAAGTTGTCCAGGCAGAAAACCCACCCAAGACAGTGTAATTTCCCCCCACATTGCAGTTTCATACTAGCCAGAATTTTTGGGAGAACCACGAATCTGGCAACCCTGCAAGATGGCAAAAGAACTCGTGAGTGAAACACAGGCGTGTGGAAAATCTACTGTTAATGCAGTTTCACTGTAGCAGCTGTTTTCTCTTCTGTGCAGTTTCATTGCTTTTCATTCGCTGCATCGTCGTACAGGTTTTCATGCAAACTGCAGATGATGTTCTATTCCAACATCGTGTCTACAGTGGTGCAACATCTGTCGACCACAGGTTTTTTGTTGAGCGGCACTTGTCGCCTGGACTATAAATTGGCCTTTAGAAATGTGACCTGCCTCACTTCTTTTATTTACAACCCAACAAAAACACACTCAATTCACATTCCTGTTGGTTTTGACGTAAACATATGTCTGTAAAAGCTAACAACTATGGAGAGTAATTTCTGTCAGATGATTTATGTAATAATTGTTGGGCCTGCTCATAAAAATCATCGTTTCTGACTTTCCCCCAGAAAGTCACTTTTCACTTTCCTTTTTTTCATATATTCTTTCACCATCATTCATCTTTTCTTGCTTGTTCTTTCTCTTGTGCTCTTTCTCCTCTTTCTCTCTGGAGCTGCATTCATCACTTCCATTACGCTCCTTTGACATACTTGAGCTCTTGGCAGCTGAGTTTGGAATGTTCTCGGTTAAAGGGGGAAAAACATCTTACTTTTCTTCTGGTTTTTTTTTATTTTAACTTGGGCATCCTATTCTTGCCAAAATGCACTCCAGACTGTCTGTATCAATACGTTAATCTCCTCCAAGAATGTTTTCCCCTGCTGTTTTCTCCGCATTCTCCATGGACAACCCAGCATGTCTGACACACTTACAGTCTATTAATCAGAACCTTGAAATGTGAAGCAGTGTGTGAACTCCTGCTGAAACAAATCTAAAATATTATTAATATAATCAACACTGAAAAGCATCACTGAAATGTGAAACAACACATGGAAATGGTTTTTGGTACTGTGGCAGCAGCCTAAAATTGTAGTGATAAAAGCTGTGTTAGACAAAGTCAGTGTCCTTATGGTTTTATTTCATTTTATTTATGTGCAGAACTACAAAAAACAATTTATTTATCGTCGTCATACAGTAAAATGCAGCGCAAAATGCTTTTAAAATAAACAGTAGAAGAGTGTAAATAAAGAAGAGAATGTTAGAAATACTGTAGGATTGACAGAATGTCTTTTAAAAGGAAAAACAAAAATACCTAAAAATAAAAAAAAGAAAATAAGATAATTAATAAAAAAATAAAATGTAAGATTTAAATGCATGCTGAATATTATTATGATTATTAATAGAAGTATTAATTAATGCTTGGTTTGAGATGCATCCTCTATCGCCCTGTCTTGTAGGAGCCGTACTGGATTGTGCTGCACGATCGCATTGTTAGCGTGATCAGCAGCCCTGCACTGACATCAGAGATGGAGTGTGTCGGCTACCCATTTCAGCTGCTGGACTTCACAGCCTGCCACCAGTCCTACTCGGAGATGTACTGCAGCTACGTGTTGGCACTAGCCCACGCAGTCTGGCACCACTCCAGCATCGGACAGCTCTCCCTCATTCCCAAGTAAGAGGCCGAGTCCCTATTATCACCCTGTAAGTCTTTTCACACCCGAACCCCAGGACATTACCGTGAAGGCTGTACCAGTAATGCTTTGCATCATTCAGAACAGTCCTGAAGGGGTGTTTTACTGCGGTGCATTAGTTCACATTTGCTGTGAAAGGGCCGTTTAACTGCATCTGACATCCTCAGCATGTTGGGCCAACAGATACTTCAGTTTTTGAGTGATGTTTATACAGCAGTTCGTTCCAGCCAAGCAAGCTGATTGGTTGAGAAGCGCTCTAACTGTACTGTTATTACCTAACATCACAGGTTTTTCACAAACACTGTATCACTCCGCTGAGACGCTGTTGCTAAGCAACAACTTTGACAGCTGTAGGAGACGCTCAAGACATTTGAACGTTTTTACTTCTTACTTTGCCACAAACAGAAAATGGACACTTTTAAGATCTCATTTGACCGACAGCCGGTTTGGTCAGACTCTGAGGATGAGACGACACTAAACTCCCAAACTGTCAGTTGGTCTGTGTGGAGCTGGAGAACGAACTGCCGGCTGTGCAGCGAGTGGGCGGAGCTCGTTACTCTGACGTAGCAACAAGCTGCTCGTTAAGGAACTATAATTTGGTGAAGGAACTGCGAACATTAAAACATATTAAACGCCGCGTTCACGACCCAGTTTATTAATTTATTACTGTATTTATTTAACTGTTGTATTAAAGCAGTAGAACACTCGAGGAGTGTGTTATCGCCAATAACATCACGGCTGTGATGATCTACGGCGACTAAATGATGTTATTTTGCCATAATACTCTCCCTCTCGGGTTCTACTGCTTAATTAAAATACCCCCTGTGGCGTTTTCTCACGCAAAACCTGAAAACTGTTCAAAAAGGGCCGTCACATTGCTATGCTGCATTGCTGCAGTAGTAGCCACAAACGCATGAAGTGCAGTTTTTTTGCAGCTTCTGCCGCTAGAATCAGGTCCTTGCAAGAACTCAAAACTGTTCTGTACAGCCAAAATGGTTCGCTCTGTCAACTACAGTCAAGACACTTGTTGTCTCTCCCAGTGATGGGAATTGCACTAGGACTTTATCTGTATCATTCCTACTGGGATTTTACTCTGGCTTGTGGTCTTTTAACAGCTTCTTGTTTAATTAACATTACTGTGTGAAAGTCCATGTGTGGAAAGGAGGCTTAAGAGTCAGAAATGTTAACAAGCATCCAAATGCAGCGTTTACCTCCAGTCCTTTATGGGTTTTGCAGTTTAGTGTCTTCCTGCTCAAACTCATGCTGAGCTTATCTGTTGTCAAGCCTTTTGGATATAAATGATGAGTGTTAGAGCAGGAAAGTTATGTTGTTCTGGATTACGAAACGCTGAGGCTGAAAGATTCATCGTATTTGCATCGAAATCACAATTTAAAAGAATGCAGTTTTCAAATCGCAAGAGCTGCAATTGTTTTTAATTATCATGTACGTTATCAACAATGTTGTCTTAAGTTTTAAGAGGGGAAATTTAACTTTATATTTCAGAGCTTGTGAACTGCCTGGAGATAAGATAGACCAATCAGAGCCAACCAAACCTCCATGTTGTGACATCACAGCTATAGCTTACTGGCCGTCTGGCACTCTACATTCAGGGGTCAAGCCTCAAGACAGAAAATGAATATTCTGGACTTCTTGGCCAAATGGCCTAATCCTTAATTTATAGAAAATAATCGCCATTTAAAACGCGGTCGCAGTATTAATCAGAAAATTGCTATTAGGACTTTTTCCACCAAAGTTCAGCCCTACAGAACGCTGCCATGTAGTGTAACTCAGAACTGAGCACTGTAGCGTTGTATATTGTCGCTGTTGGAATTATATCTCCGCTTTTGTTGTTTTTCATTTTTTGAAAAACATAATTTTGAAAACTTGTGAAGGTTTCATGTTGAGTGGATCAGTAGAAATGGTCCAAAATTGTTTTGCAATAAAATCTTTTTTACGTTAACTTACACTGAAAGCTAATAATGTGTCAGATCCAGGGTTTTTGTCCGACAGTGATGATATTCCAGTGGGCGTGTCTCTGCCTATTGAAGTCAAATTACCAGGTGCAGTCTGATATACCTGTAGGCAGTGTAATCAGTGTAATGCTAGACTATGGAAGTAAAGAACTATGAGATATTTTTACCATGTCGTAGTTTTGGAAAAAGCACTGAACGCTGTACAGTAACATGTAGGAGATGCCAGTTCTAGACATAGCGAAGCTTATATGCGTCTTCCACAGTAGCTCTCATTTCTGTGAAAGTACTTATAAGAAAGAATATAAGCAGTGTTACCTGGTTGATTATGATGGTGTATTCTCTTGTCTTTCAGCAGGAAGTCCTAATCTGTATGACTGTACATGTGATATGCTGCTGTTATATTTCCCACCTCTTTTCTTCAGTCACACCGTACGTGTCTGGTTTTCTAGAAAAAGATGACGAGCGTCCCTCAAGCAAATTCTCGTTCCACATCACAGTCTAATAAATCAAGACAGACTGACTGACTGCCGTTGTTGTTACTCCCTTAGGGGGGTGGGGAGGGGGCTTATTTCAGAAAGCAGTGTTTTTCAATAAGCCATGTAACTTAAGCCAAAAGTCAGGCCAGTTAAATGGGAGGAGAGGGTGTTTAGATTGATTGTCATGTTTAAAGCCAGTATAAAATACTGATGATCACAGACGTCATGTTGCCACATAGATATTTAGAGAATCGTTGCATGTCGACAGTAGCTACTGTAAACGAACTGCATTGCTTGATAGTGGAAGCGTTGATTGCAATTGTTAGTAAAATGTAAATTATTAATTGATTGTGTATCTAATTGGATTTTGTCATCATTTTAAAAGTGCAGTGTGTTAGTGATTTTGCTCCGCATTACGCCGTGTCACGAATAACAACTCTTTACAGTGGGAAAATCACTGTAACTTGCAGCCTTAAGGCCCACACTTGCAACTGCCAGCGAAAATACATGTTTTTCAGTGAAATTCACCACGATGAGCGATTTCGCATTGTAGAATTGCAGGATGAAAACAACTCAATCGCACAATTTGCATCAAGATGGACTTTGGCATGCGAATTTGCGTCCTATACCAGTAGCGCTACTGCTTTGAAGAGTTGCCAGGTTCACAGTTGTCCTGCCAAATTGGTGCTTGTTTGAAAATGCAGGTAAAAAACTAACGCCATGGGGTGCCTTTTTTTTTAATAAAATGTACCACGGCCACCAGGTTAAATGCAGACAGTAGAAAATTTAATGAAGCCCTGATTAGATAAACTAGGGCCAAGTCAAAAAAGGGTTCTTCTTTTGTGTCAACCTTTAGATTGTAACAATAGAAGAACCCTTTTTGGTGCTGTGTAGAAGAACTCTTTTCAAAAAAGCACACTTACCATCAATCTGAAGAACCTGTCACCATGTAAAGAACCCTTTAATCACGCAAAGGGCTCTTTGAGTGTTCATGGTTCTATATAGAACCATTTTCTTTACTAAAGAACCCTTGAAGAGCCATTTTTTAAGAGTGTAGGTAACTGAGAAATTCCCCTTTGTGAACTTCCTTCTGATGTAGTGAACAGGGTTTTGTGTTTCTGAGCTGGTGAAACCGCCATAACACTGACTGCACCTCTGCTGCAGCTGGACAGCCTGTTATTAACGGTGAACCAGTTTCGGTACAGTATTGAATTTTAAACAGTGAGTGCAGTGCATGGACCAGTTTATGGAAAAGTAGAACTGTATGGCTGTTAGGCCCCTCGCTCTTCTGAGCGTCTCTCATTTACAGTCTTTCAGAGAAAATACTGTGTGATTAAAACTAGACATCTGGGTATATCAGAGTGTATTGGCTGGGGCAGAGCTTATGATATGCACACATTCACGGTCTGTGGAGTATATAATGAAAGTATGGAGACGTTTTTAACACGTAAAATATTGAAAATTTGAATCTTGACACCAGAATCAAAACTCAGCAAACCTGAAAATATGTGTATGGTTACGTCTACAGGCCCAATCCCATTTCACCCCTCACCCCTACCACTTGGCCCTTACCCCTCCTTCTTGTGCGTTCACGTCTAGGGGTAGGGTGTCCTAATTGTTGTTTGCAATAGAGGGGTAGGGTGAAGTGTTAGGACTGCATGGCCCTTCAAACGGAGGTGTTTCAGAGACACACTGCAAACAGTGTTATGGGAAAAATGAAAAACCAGCAAGAAAACAAAGAAACACACAAATGTGAGAATTTTCAACAATCATGATAACCACTGTATTATCTTAGTTTAATGTCGTTTCAGTGTATCATGTTCCTTTTCTTCATAATGAGCAAAAAAACTTAAATAGTCCAGCAGTTCTGATGCCTGAAGCACCAGAATGTAACTGCTGCGCCGTTTAAGGTGGAACGGAAAAATTCGAACAAGAATCTGGTGAATATCTGACTTCAGCTTCATATCACTGAAGAATTAGGGGTGGGTGATAATAAATAATTGCCCTCCTCTTTGAAGTCATATGATTCCCTAAATGTAACTAAAGCCCAGCAGTGAGGAGCTGAACTTTACCCTCCTCTGCTGTCACTGCAGACTGGCAGGGTCGCCTACAGAGCAGCACTGGTAGCTGTTAATGAAGTAATGCCCTTTTTATTTGAGGGTCCCATTTCAGAGGGAAGATTTTTACCAATAACCTTTAACCCAGGGGCAAGGTGACACTCGAAAACAAGGGGTAGGGGTAATAATAATAATAAGAAATGGGACTGGGCTCTACTGTTACTGACCTTTCCTCTCCATCTGCTCTATTTTAGCAGTGGTAGACGTCCCGGCAGATTCAGGCTACAGAGTGTGATGATCTCCAGACTCTGTCTTCACATTAAAGCCTGCCTGCTTGCTGAGAGTAATAGCCTCCGTATCCTGGCTCAGGTGTAGGAAGCAGTTTGTCCTGTGTCCTTTGACAGAGTGCTGACGTGTGGATGGTTTAACTGGCACATTGGGTTGACAGACTAGCGCTTTATCCTGCTTTAGAAAGGTACAGCCGTGCATCTCTGCATGGCTGCCTTGAATCTCTATAGAGAGATCGTTAGAAACGATGTCTTGTGTGAAGGGAGCTACAAAATGCAGTACAAAAAAGAAAGGATGAGAAAAGTTAGAGCGTTAGAGGAAAAATCTTAGTTTTTACTTTTGGCTTAAGTTACCACAGTCTTAAAAATAATGGTTCTGTAAGGAATCTTAGTGATGCTGTGTAGAACCAAGAACACTCAAAGAACTGCATGATTAAAGGGTTCTTTGCATTCTTCACAATGTGCTGTAGATGGTTCTACATAGAACCTTTTTGAAAAGAGTTCTGTTTAGCACCCGGAAGGTTGTTCTATTGTTACGATGTCGAGCTTGCTATATAGAAACCCTTTTCAAAAATGTTGTATATCATGCAAAGGATTCTTAACCAAGGGTTGTTAAACTTTTTGCTGCCCACCATTTGAAAGCTACATTCTTAAAAAAGAGGGTTCTTTAGAAAAGAAAATTATTCTATCTAGAACCATGAACACTCAAAGAACTCTTTGCACGATTAAAGGGCTCTTTCGCATCATGACCGCGTTCCTCAGATTGATGGAAAATGAGCTTGAATGTGCTACAGATGCTTCAATTTTGAAAAGGGTTCTGTATTGCACCCAAAAGGGGTTCTTCTGTTCTTATAAGCTTGACATCGTAATGATTGAAGAACCCCTTTTGGTGCTATATAGAACCCTTTTCAGAAATGTTGTATATAGAACCATCTACAGCATATTCTCCATCAATCTGAAGAGCCCTTTCACCATGCAAAGAACCCTTTAATTAAGTGGTGAGGTTGCAGATTGGAACCAAACTAACTGACCACTCCTCCCTAACCCCTCCCTTTTCCAAGCGAGAAGTAGAACCTGCAGTAGTCGTCAGGCTTTCGCTCCTTTGGCAGGGAGGATTCACCCTCCATCGCTTTTTCTTGTGCTAAATAATAAGTATGATTGTTAGAATTTGGGTTCTCAAACTTATGACACAAAATGGTCAGTCAGCACCGCGAGCAACCACTGATTCTTCTTCTTTCCACGTCTTCCAACTGGAGCTACAGTTCCACCAAATTAAGCTGCTGCTTCAGCGTAAAAAACGCGAAAGGCGCCCCCTAGAGCCAGTGTTTGGTTTGTTCGTTCTGGGTTACTGTAGAAACATGGCGGCGGCAGCCTCTGTTGGAAGAGGAGCCGCTATGTAGATATGAAGGGCTCATTCTAAACTAACGAAAACACAATGAATCGTTGTTGCAAGTGATTTTTTTACACTAACGAAAACATAGTTTTCTTTACTAAATTCCATTTCTGCTAATACATCCCCCTAACTCTTACACACTGCACCTTTAAGCACTCTGAATGCTTCTGAATAGCTGAACTCAACTAGTTTTAGCCCTTTAAATTGGCAGGGACTAATGTAATTACATTAGATGGCATATGCTCACAAACAAGCAGCACCAATCAACACCTCACTCTGGCATGCTCACACCATACGCCACACTCCTCCCGCCTGTCTGCGTTTATCTCACTGTGCAGCAACGCGGATACGGTCATGATTTTTGCTTCATTCGGATGTTGTACAAAATATCATGGGAATATCGAATCTAGGGCTGAGCGTATCGTCACACCCCTGCTAACATATATATAATTGTGTTTAGCAGGATTATGATGCACCATATTTTTCTGTACGTTTAAATGGAGTGGTGACTGAGAAGAGAGGAAAAGTATAGCAGACGGACCTGTTCTAAGTTCTAAGGTCTAATTTTAGTAACCAGTGTTTTTAGCCCCACATCATGTGCTTGCTTTGACCATGTCAAGTTGCTAAATAATCTTATTGTATAACTTTGACTTTCCCTCTTGAGGACGTCTGAGGTGCTGAATGTTTCTGGCCCGGTGTTGATGTTGCTTCGAGTGACTTTAACCGTGACGTGTATTTTTCTGTGTTTAGACCGCAGCAGTGACAGTCTGTTAGTACGCATGTGAAGAGCTGTAGTGTGCCTTGAGCAGTTTATGGATCTGTCTGTTTGGTCTCCGAGGGAGGAGGACATCGCTCTTGTGAGAGTGCCGTTCCTGCTTTGTTTTGATGCGCCTGCCACAACTGTCCAAAAATGACACTCGCGTTCCACACCGGGGTTTCTGCTGTCAGCACACGCGCCTTTGTTTCTCATACATTTTAAGGCAGATCTCCTGACTTTGTAGGGAAACCAGAGGAAGACAGGGATAAACTGCACAGGCAACACAAGGCTTACCAGAAGAGCTAAACCATTTCTTGTGAATAAAGATGTAATGATTTAAATACTGTAATGAAAAATGGAAAACAAGTGGGCGGCGAGCTATATCAATTCTGAATTCCAGGGGTTGTGATTTCTCAGGTGTTTTCATGAAAATTTTCTCTTTCAGAGATTTTAAGGAGAGACATGCTGTAACACAGGCATCTGAGTGTGTCTGCTATGTCTGATGACATTTCTCTTTCTCTCTCTAGCTCACTCGGAGACGAGAGAGAGAGCGAGAGAGAGAGAGAGCGAGAGAGAGAACGAGAGCAGCCCTGGAGAATATGTTTTCCGAAGTTAAAACCTTTTTTTATAACCCAACTCAACTGACGCAATCCAAAGCTGACTGTAGCAATTCAGATTCTCTCTCTCTGTCTCTCTCTCTCTCTCTCTCTCTCTCTCTCTCTCTTTCGCCTTTGTGCTGTCTACCCTGAACGTTTCTTTCGGTGATGGAGTGCAGCAGGGCTGTCATCTCGCTGACCCGAGGCTTCTGCAGTTCGTGCAGAAATTCAGACCGATGTGGCCAGCAGTGTCTAGTCTTCAGAAGAATGTGTCTCACATCAGCTCCTTTTTCCATATACAGTAAACTAATGTAGGATTCAGAGTTGCCTCACTGTAATTATCCTTATACACTGGAACATTCATTCGCAAATGGCTAGGGGTGTAATGATACACATATTTCCAGGTTTGATACGATTTTCAATTCTGGGATCAAGATTTGTTTCATTTATCAATATTTTATGTGTCTCAGTTCCAAAAAAGTTGGGACAGTATGTGAAATGCTGATTAACAGTGAGTATTAAGTTAACACTATAAAATTAGTGTTGCACCAATACCGATACTGTATCTGTATCAGCGCGGATACTGGCACTTAAACACAGTGTGATACATATGATCAATATCACAAAGCAATTTCTGATGCATGCATGCGATCCAGTAGACAGAACTTAACAACACGTTGGTGGTGTGGGACGAAAAATGCTGATGGCAGAATCTGTAACGGCAGTTTTTGGTTAATGTTACTGAGAGAGACGAAGGAGCCACCGAACTTTCTGCATAATGAGCATTTAGCCTTGATTTCGCCTTTAGCATAGCAGCCCGCTAGCCAGGCCTGTGCTTCCAATAGCCCTCCATCAGTCAGCTGTATCACTCGGCAGTGGGGTCTCGTGGCCCGTCGCTTCAACCAAACCAGACAAAACACTGAAAGTTGCTGATGCTGACAGCCTGAACAGCAGTGATATTTACTGAACTGACGCTCAGGGATGCAGCGCGAGTGAACAAGACGCACATATGAGGCTCAAGAAAAATTTGGATGGGAAACAACATTCAGCTCCGTTTTCCAGCCAGAGAAGCTGCTGTGCTGATGTGTAAACACCACAGGTTTATCTGTTTACTGTTTTTTAACTGTTTTACACGATAAAGATATTTTACATTTACTTAAGTTGTTAAATATGGTTCTTATTACTAATTATATAATAGTAACTACTAAACATATACAGTAAATGAACAAAAATAAGTTTCCTTAAGCATCTAATAAATATACTCCAACAAGTAAATACTATCTAGACAAGTTGAAAGTGTTTTATTTGTGACGAAGAACACAGATTTTACCAAAAATAAAATATTTTAAAAATGTAGTTGTATAAATATCAGGACTAATATGTGAGTTAGGTTAGACAGAGTTAGTATCGGAATCAGTACTTTGTATCAGCCAATACTAAAGGATCAGGTATTGAAGGGAAAAAGTGGTATCTGTGCATCTCTATACAAAACCACAATATTTGATGTTGTTCCAAATGAACTTTATTGATTATTTCGTTATTTGTGGGTTTTATTTCTGTAAATATAGTCTCATTATAAATTTGACGCTGGTAACATGTTCCCAAAAAGTTGGGACGGAAGCATGCTTACCTCTATGATACATCACCTTTCATTTTAACACTTATTAATCGTTTGGGGACTGAAGACGCTGATTAATCCAGGTTTGAAAGTGGATTTTTTTGCCATTCTTTCTTTATACAAGTCTTCAGCTATGCTTAGCCTTCTTTTGCGATGGAGGCCAGCCTGGCATCCCCACACACAGCCTTATGAACTTTACACTGGTAACAACCTGGATGGTCCTTTTCTTCGAGCAGGAGAACCTGATGTCCATTATTTCCAAAAACAGTCTGAAAGACTGTCTCGTCAGGCCACAGTGCACATCTAGTAACTGCTTGTTGTTATTTGTCAGGTTTCTGTCGGAGGTGCTGAAGCCGCTGGTGAAGACAGAGTTCCAGCTCCTCTACATCTACCACCTGGTGGGACCGTTCTTACAGCGCTTCCAGCAGGAGAGAACGCGCTGCATGCTGGAGGTACACATCATCCACACACAGGCACGGACAGTCTGCCATCAGACAAGATGCATAGATTTTTAAAATGCTTTCAATACAAATCAGCATCTTTTTGTCCTTTGCAAGAATAGCAGGTTTATTTAAAGGAAATCAATATCAAGGGCCACTGTTAGTAACAGTGCTGCACACCTAAAAAAGATGGTTCTTTAAGGGGTTGTTAGTAAAGAGAATGGTTCTATGTAGAACCATGAACACTCAAAGAACCCTTTGCATGATAGAAGGGTTCTTTTACATCATAAAATTACTTTTGCATTGTAAAGGTTCTTCAGCTTGATGGAGAATGTGCTCTAGACGGTTATATAGCACCAAAAAGTGTTCTTCATGGTTACAGGCTTGACACTGAAACAATACAAGAACCATTTTTTGGTGCTATATAGAACCCCTTTCAAAAAGGTTCTATATAGAACCATCGACAGCACATTCTCCATCAATATGAAGAACAATTTAATGGTGCAAAGAACCTTTTGCATGACTGAAGGCTCCTTGAGAATGTGCTGTACATGGTTCTATGTAGAACCTTTTTGAAAAAAAGCGTTCTTCTATTGTTACAGACTTCATGTTGAAACAATACAAGAACGCTTTTTGGTGCTATATAGATATAAGTGGTTCTATATAGCACCAAAAAGAGTTCTTCTATTGTCACAGGCTTTACATCGTAACAATAGAAGAACCATTTTGGTGCTATATAGAACCCTTTTCAAAAAGGTTCTATATAGAACCATCTACAGCACGTTCTCTGTCAATGTGAAGAACCACTTAATGATGCAAAGAACCATTAAGTGGTTCTTAAAGGGTTAAAGGTTTCTTCAGAACCATTAAGAGTTCTTAAAGCGTTCTTCAGAAGGTGCTTTAGATGGTTCTATATTGAACCTTTTTGAAAAAAAGAGTTCTTCTATTGTTACAGGCTTGACATTGAAACAATACAAGAACCCTTTTTGGTGCCATATAGAACCCTTTTCAAAACGGTTCTATATAGAACCAGCTACATCCCGTTCTCCATTCATCTGAAGAACGATTTAATGATGCAGTGATGCGGAACCGTAATTTTAAGTGTGTACCTTAAGTAAAGCCAAAGGCCGCACGTTTTATCCTGTTGTTTTGATGTCAGCACGTTGAAAGTGTTTCAATATGAGCTTTTAACACTAGTTTGGAAAAGAAAACTGTCAAATCATCATTTAGTCGAAAGCTACTGAGTGCTGAAGGTAAATATACCCAGAAGATTAGCTCACAGCTGCTTTATCATGACTGGGACATGAATTTGGGACGTAGCGAGGTGAATCAGTACGACAGGACTGAATTTCTCCCATAAGAGCGAGCGTTCTTATTCACAGCCAGTCACTGCGAGGCTGTCAAGTGACATTCAGTTCACTACACCTTCGTTTTGTTTGGGTATTTTAATTACTCCGGCACATCACTCGTTTCTGGGTTTTTATTTTCGGTTCTGGCAGACTGATTCATTTCAGCTTATTCCCCTCACTCCATCTTTTTGTTCAGGTAATTTAATTACCCTGTCTGTCTGTGTTTCTGGTTGAGCAGCAGGCGAATTCAGGCTAATTCAAAAGCCGTTCCATTAAGCTGTGCGTCAGCTGTCAGGCCGAGCAGGAGTGTCTGTTCTGCATGTAACAGTAGCCAGAAATACATTTTTAACTTTTCCTTTTTTTAATCTTACTTCCTTCAGGTTCTGTCAAATGTAAATGGCTGCATGCGTTCAAGCGTTCATTATGTGGAAACCATAATGTTGTTTATTTTTGATATTATTAATTATTGTATTATTGTTGCTGCTGTAATCTTGCAGTTTCTTTCAGTGTCTGAAAGTCTTTCAACTGTCTGTCTAGATGTCTGTCTGTGTCCATCTAGCTAGCTAGTCTGTCTAGCCGTCTCTGCAGCTATATGTGTATGTAGCTCTCTGTCTGTCTGTCTATCTGTTCATCTGGCTAGCACACTGACTATGTAGACAGCTAGCTAGCTGTCTGTCTGTCTGTCTGTGTAGCCAGTAGTCTCTCTAACTATCTATATGTCTAAGCTTTCTGTCTACATATCAGAGTAGTTAGCTGTCTAGCTAGCTAGGTAGCTGTGTGTCTACCAGGAAAACTATCTGTCTGTCTGACTGTGTGTCTGTCTGTCTGTCTGACTAGTGAGCTGTCTCTCTAGCTATCTATATGTCTAAGCTTTCTATCTGCATATCTGAGTAGTTGGCTAGCTATGTATATATTTATCTGTTTAGCTAGCTAGGTAGCTGTCTGTCTACCAGGCGAACTAGCTGTCTGTCTGTCTGTCTGTCTAGCCAGCTGTCTCTCTAGCTATCTGTATATCTAACAAGCTTTCTGTCTGCATATCAGAGTAGTTGGCTGTCTAGCTAGCAAGGTAGCTGTCTGTCTACCAGATGAACTAGCTGTCTGTCTGTCTGTCTGTTTAGCCAGCTGTCTCTCTAGCTATCTCTATATCTAACAAGCTTTCTATCTGCATCTCAGAGTTGTTGGCTAGCTATGCATCTATTTATCTGTCTTGCTAGCTAGCAAGCTGTCTGTCTACCAAAGTGAACTAGCTGTCTGTCTGTCTGTCTAGCCAGTTGTCTCTTTCGCTATCTATATATCTAACAATGTTTCTGTCTGCGTATCTGAATAGTTGGCTAGCTATGTATCTATGTATCTGCTCTAGCTAGCTAGTTAGCTGTCTGTCTGTCTATCTGTTCATCTGGCTAGCACACTGACTATGTAGACAGCTAGCATACCTGGTAGCATACCTGGTAGTGAACTAGCTGTCTGTCTGTCTGTTTAGCCAGCTGTCTCTCTAGCTATCTATATATATAACTAGCTTTTTGTCTGCGTATCTGAATAGTTGGCTAGCTATGCATCTGTTTATCTGTCTACCTAGTTGTCTTTCTGTCTGTCTATTAATCTATCTGTCTATCTGTCTGTCTATCTATCTATCTATCTATCTATCTATCTAATAAATTTGTGTTTTTGTGATCTTCAGAGCCCAGAATACTGATCTCAAATCATACAGCTGTTTACATGTTCAGTACATTTGTATCTACTTGTCCTTGTTCTTTTATCTGGGTCTTAGACCTGTTTGGTCTATTTAATTATATATATTTGGTATATTTAATTATCTGTGTTAAGTGTAGACCTAGACCTTTTTTTCATCCCTTGCTTTGTGCCAGACCTCACTGGTGTTTCCTGTGTGCACACAAGTGTATTTGGTTGTTTCAGTGCCATTTCTATCCTCCACAGAGTGCATCTTCACTGGAACATACATACAAACAATTACGACCATCTTTGGCACCGAATCCTAGTAATAAACACACAGAAACACCTGCTCCTGTTCCTCACACACATCAGACTTTGAGCATACACACCTGCTCCACACACCCACACACACACACACACGACAGATGTGTCCATAACAACATATAAAGCCACTGAATCAGTGTCGCCCCCACTCTCATCAAACCTGTTTGTGCCTCTATTTCTATCTCTCACACACAGTAGGTGTAGAATTGAACATTACTTTAAAATGTGTCCCTGAATTTTCCCTTTACAGTAACAGCAGAACAGACACAGTGAGGCTTGAATTACATGAAATTCCTCAGTTTCACAATATTACCTGTTTATTATTCCTCACAATACCAGCTGTGTGTGCACGAGCGTCCCATCGTCCATTTCTGTATTCTGCATCTACTTTGAGTGTAAAAATGCATCACTGCGTCTGAAGGTGGAGATTAATTTGCATCGTTTTTCGAATGTCAGAATGTATTAATCTGTTAGTCCCAACAGCATGATCTGATTGGTTGAAATCAGCTCTATCTGTGCTGTCATTTCTGAAAACAGCACAGCTTTAATCACAAAATAACTGTTTGACAACTGAGCACCAGTTGTTCACTTGACACTGCAGCTGTTACTAATGCTAATACACACAGTAACAGAAAACAGATACATTAGATAACTTCTGTAAGATAATTGCCTGTTTGGTCAGATTTTGAAGAACAGCTAAACAGAATGAAATTAGCCTGAAATGAACAGATGGACAATTTGGGCTGTGAAATGCTTTTCAGACTGACTGGCAGCAAATTACGTTCAGGTTAATCTGGCAAACGTTTAAAAAGCTGAGCTGAACCTGATATTGTGTCAGTTCAATGGCTCATTGGCTACGTTCACATTACAAGCCTCATTGATCAAATCTGATTTTTTGCTCAAATCTGATCTCTCTGCCTCGATGGTTCACACTCGTTTAGGTAAGTGATTCAAATCTGTCAATTAATGTGACGAACCAGTGTCCTGAAATGACCCTCATGAGCTCATCCTACTCAGTAACGTCACGTGAATGAATCACGTGACCATCATCAGCACAAACTAACGAGCAGAACGAGCTTCGCTGAGAAGATGATTAACTCTGATCAGCTCTCAGCTTCATTATTAGAGCCAGACGAAGGAGAAAAAGGTGAGATGTGAAATTCCAATCTGAGCGTCACATTAAGGTTACATGGCCGCGAATTGGATGCGAATCCGATCTGGTTCCACATATGAAAGTGGCTCAGGTCGAATATGAAAAGATCAGATTGAAAAGATTGGATTTGTGCCACTTAAACCTCGTAATGTGAACACAGCCAATGAGTACTTCTTTTTTGGCAAAAGGAATAGATAATGAGTCCATTTACATGTACTTAGTAATCTGATAACTGCGGAAAATCAGATTTTCTCAGTAATCAACACGTTTACATGCTCAGATAATGAGGAAACATAATGGGGAAACTCCGGATCTGCATGAGTCAGACAGTAGTCAGATTTCATGCTTTACAACCAGCCAATAAACTCACAGAAGAAGACGCGACTTAAACGTAATGTAAAACTCAAACTTCATGCTGCGGCTTTTTTTAAAAAATCCTCGCGCCTCTTTACCTGAAAATATTATACGTCATCTAGAAGATGAAGAATATTTAAATCCTTCATTTCGTCAAGCATGTGTTCGGTTTCAGCGTCGTTCCCGAAGTGTTTTGCTGCGTCTCGCGGCGACGCTGCTCGCTTATTTCCAGTACCACGGTCTGTTTTCACACATGCTCAGACTGAGACATCAGAAAGAAATCAGAGTAAGAGTTCACATGCACTGAGAAATCTGATTACTGAGCTAAAATCCAGCCCCTTTATCAGATTTCTTAATCAGATTTCTAGACTTTAATCCAAGAAATCAGAGTGTGCTGTTTAGACGACCATTTGAAAAGTCAGATAACTGCAGAAATCTGATTATGATTGGATTGTTGAGTGCATGTAAATCTCAGTATCTCAGCAAAGTGTTCGGTGCTTCTTTGCCTTGTTGTACTTTTGCAGAACTGTTTCATAAAAGCGATTGAACACTGGTCGAGTGTTATTATGAGCAACATTGTGCTCATACCTACAACCTAATCTCAGCCATGATGTTATTTCTCATAACACACTCCCTCTAATATTCTGTTGCTTCAGTAACATTCAGTAAAGTCTGCCCTCATTTTTGGACGAAATACATTTCTCATTCTTTTAAATATGAAAGAATGGACAGAAACACTTGGTGCTTGGTGGTGGATTTTATTGTCTGTGTGAATGTGAATCATAGCGATTTCTCACTCTCTTTCTCTCTCTCTGTCAGATTGGAGTGGCATTCTATGAGATGCTGCAGGCGGTGGACCTCCACAGTAAACACCTGGCGTATATGGACCCCATCTGCGACTTTCTCTACCACATGAAATACATGTTCACAGGGGACAGCGTCAAAGACCAGGTAACAGGCACACACACACACCTGGCCTGCCCTCTCGTCTGTCTGTTTGCTGACCTTTATGATTTGTGCAGTGGCAAGCCAGCCACTAGACAGCCAAGCGTAGATCCCAAATCCTGGTCCTGATGTGTTTTTGTGGCTGATTAGTATATGGTACAAGAAATTGAGGCTAAACTTATTTGAAAATTCTCCAGGATGTGGGAAAACATAGCCTACTTTAATTAACTGTGGATTTCAAGGTCACCACATGGAGTCAAAGAGAACGGTGGAAAACTTCACCGTCTTTGCTGGAAGCAAGCAGTGATTTTTAAAGCTTCAGGTTTTACAAAAAGTCTCAATTTTAGTATTGAGTTTGCTAAAAACTGACAACACAGATTAGCCAAAGCAGTTTGTTCCAGAATATTCCACTGGTGTTGCAGTGCTGTGCTCTTACTCTAGAGTTACAGCTGTCGCGGCCATTAGATTTTAGCTTACCGTTATTATATATATTGTTGCAATTAATGATGTATTGACTTTTCTTGTTTGCAGCCATTTAAATACAAACCCAGAGTGACCAGATTGTTATTAGCTACTAAGTGAACCATGTATAGTCACACAGAATCATGTGTAGAGTCAAGCAAAGCTACAAGTTCTTCACAAGAGTAAAAATATAAGCAAAAAAAGGCTTCCAAGTGGCGCAGCCGTCTAAGCGTTGGCCTTGACGTCAGGAGATCGCGAGGTCGATCCCTGGTGATGCTACAGCCGTCCGTGGCTGGGAGTTCAAGAGAGCTCAACTGTCCTCGCTCTCTCTGGGTGGGTAGGATGGCCCCCGTCTCCCACAATCACTCAGGGTGATGCTAGCCAGCGCAGGCGTCTGTTAGCTGACGTAACAGATCTGGCAGTCGGCGCTTTCCTCTGAGGGCGTTCAGCTGTCCAGTGACGTTGTGTCAGCGGCAGTTTGAAAAGATGCAGTGGCGCTTCACAGGTCTCAGAGGAAGCCTGTGCTAGCCTTCAGCGTCCTAGCGTTGGTGGTATTGTGTGACTGGGGGAGTCCTAACTAGTGGGTGGGATTGGACATGACTAAACTGGGGGGAAAATTGGAAAAAAACATAAAAAAAATAATAATACAAGCAAAAAAACATTTATTCTGCCAGCATACATGCTAAAAACAGCAGGTATCTGCTTATAAACAAGCAAATATTACTGCACACAAAACATGTTAGAGCATCAAGTTAGAACTTAAAACACTTTTGTTTTCAGAAGTTTTAATAAGAAAAAAAATTGATGCTTTCTTTTTATGTTAATTTGCCTCAATTCAGCGCAACCAGTTCACATTCAGTTTATCGCAGCATTAAATGACTGTGAGGTGTAACGACTGCAGTCAGATTAAAAAATGATCTAAAACAAATGTATTGTCGTAATTCTGACAGGCCTATCTGGAGCATTCTCTGAGAAGAGTCCTCTTCACTCTGCGTTGATAACACTCTCTTACCCTGAGCAGGTTTTAATTCGTTCCATACGCCTAATTGAAGCCTTCCGGAGCGTCTGATTGGAGGAATCAGGTGTTTCTGATTAGAGCTGCAATAAAACTCAGCAGGAGAATCAGCAGGAGCTCAACTCATTAGCGGTCACTCACTGCATGCACTATCACCGAGCCGTTTGCTGTGGGCCAATGAATGTTCTGCTGTCCTTTATCTCCCAGGTGGAGAAGATCATCTGCACGTTGAGACCAGCCATGAAGCTCCGCCTCCGTTTCATCACGCATATCAGCGTGATGGAGCCAGGTGCGGCCGCCGCTACAGCAACGTCTGCCTCCCAGCCGACCACGGTCTCCTCGCCTGCCCCTCAGAGCGGACCAGGACCCTCTAACATCCCCTTATCTGTTGCCCAGTGACCCCTCAGATGAACCCATCACAATCTCTTCCTTGCCATGCTCAGCTTATAAATAGCTACTGATGCAAGGTTGGACTAGTTTACAGAAGTACATTAATTATTCATATTGGACAGTGTTTAAGTTTCGTTTAGAGTGGATGAATATCGAGTTTCCGGTTTATAATGCTACGCTACCGAGTAGGGATGTGCACAGATACTCGAGTACCCGGTTACCCGTCGAAGGTGCCAGTATTCGTGAACTGAAATCACTGTTCGAGTATTTGTTACAGAGAAAAGTAACGAAATTTTAGTGAAACGAGACGGTTTGGTTTGTATGTGTTGGCACATCGTCCACTGAGGAGAAAATATGTTGTAGAAGTTGTAAAAAGCTGATCCTACACTATCCTAAAAGATAGTTCTTCCAGGGTTCTTTAGTGAAGAAAATGGTTCTATATAGAACCAGGGTTATTTGCATCCTGAAAGGGTGCTTCAGATTAATGGAGAATGTGCTGTAGATGTTTCTATATAAAAGCTTTTTGGTTCTGTGTAGCACCCAAAAGGGTGACGATGTCAAGCTTGTGACAATAGAAGAACCCTTTGGGGTTCTTTTTCCAAAAAGGTTCTGTATAGAACCGTCTATAGCACATTCATGCATTTTCTCCATCAATCTGAAGAACCCTTTCATGATGCAGAGTCCTTTAATCATGCAAAGGGTTTTTTGAGAGTTCATGGTTCTAAATAGAGCCATTTTCTTTATCAAAGAACCCTTAAAGAACCATTATTTTTAAGACCCAAAGAACAGTTTGCATGATTAAAGCGTTCTTGGCATCATGAAAGTGTTCTTCAGATTGACGGAGAATGTGCTGTACATGTTTCTATATAGAACCTTTTTGAAAATGCTTCTATATAGCACCCAAATGGGTTCTTCTACTGTTACAATGTTAAGCTTGTAGGAATAGAAGAACTCTTTGGGGTTCTTTTTTCAAAAAGGTTCTGTATAGGACTGTCTTCAGCACATTCATGCACATTCTCCATCAGTCTAAAAAAATCCATATATGATAAAGAACCCTTTAATCATGCAAAAGGTTCTTTGAGTGTTCATGGTTCTAAATACATTTTCTTTTTAAAGAACCCTTGAAGAACCATCTTTTTTAACACTCAAAGAACCATTGGGCTCTTTGCATCATGATGACTGATGGAGAACGTGCTGTAGATGGTTCTATATAGAGCCTTTCTGAAAATGCTTCTATATAGCACCCAAAATGGTTCTTCTATTCTTACAAACTTGACTTCTTAACAATAGAAGAACCCTTTTTGGTGCTATATAGAGCCGTTTTCAAAAAGAAAAGAACCATCTATAGCACATTCATGCGCATTCTCCATCAAATTTAAAGAATCCATACATGATAAAGAACACTTTAATCATGCAAAGGGTTCTTTGAGTGTTCATGGTTCTATACAGAACCATTTTCTTTACTAAAGAAAAACTGGAGAACTGTCTTTTTTTTAAAGGTGTACAGCCCTTTGTTATTTACAGCCAGAGCAGCTGATCAAAACTGGGCAGGTTGGAAACAGCAATGGTGAATTTGTCCTAACAGTGACTTTTTATACGTCTGCCAGTATAAATACCATTAGAAATTAATGAAACGCTGAATTTAATGTAGATGTTTTGATGAAAACGGACTGTGTGCTTCAGTTTCTCGTTCGGTTGAATGGGATTTTTACCAGCCTTGCATCAGTAGCTACAGAAGAGCACATCTGTAGGGGAAGCATGGACACTGATGGTTACAGCACTCAGCTGTCGAGCTTGAGTAACGGTGTAGCTTCGTGCTCTTTGGTGAACACCTGGGAGTTATTTCACCAGAACTGAATGAAGGACAAAGCAAAAAAAACAATATCACAAACCTCAGATGAAGCAGTCGAGCTGAATAATTCACACGGCATTTTACACAGTTTCAACTGCAGTTTAACCCCTTAAACTCTGCAGGTCTGTGTGTGGGTCCCCACTTGAATCCCACACTCTCCTAACTACACAACCTCCGCATTCATAATAACCGAACAGTACGTTTTATTATACGTACACTCTTTAAGAAGAAGGTTCTTTAGTAAACAGAACGGTTCTGTGTAACCATGAATCCTGTGCATGATTAAAGGGTTCTCTGCATCATGAAAGGGGTCTCTAGATTAAAGACAAATTTGCTCTAGATGGTTCTAATTAGCGCCTTTTGGAAAAGGGTTCTTTGTAGCACCAAGAAGAGCCCTTTTTGGTGCTATATGGAACCCTTTTCAAAAAAGGTGCTATATATACTCCTAAAAGAAGCTTCTTCAAGGGTTCTTTAGTTAACAAAATGGTTCTATTTAGAACCTTAAATGCTTACAGAATCCTGGGCATGGTTAAAGGGTTCTTCAGAATGATGGAGTGTGTGCGTGCATGTGCTGTAGATGGTTCTGTTTAGCACCCAAAAGAGTTTTTCTGTTGTTAAAATGTCAAGCTTGTAACAGTAGAAGAACCCCTATGGGTGCTATATAGAACCCTTTTCAAAAAGGTTTTATACAACCATGTAGAGCACATTTGTGCACGTTTTCCATCCATATGAAGAACACTGACAATGCAGAGAACCCTTTAATCATGCAAAGGGTTATTTGAGTGTTCATGGTTCTATATAGAACCATTTTCCTTACTAAAGAACCCTTGAAGAACCATCTTTTTTAAGAGTGTAGCCAGTTTAAGGGGTTAAGTAAGCAGACTAGAAGGGCAGTTTGTATCTCGAATTCCAGGTGAAAGTCCCAGCTGCTGTTGCTATATTAGCTTCAGCTCTCCAGTGATGTTTTTATGGAAAAGCATGGATTCAGTTCGGTGCTTTGGTGAGGCAGTTCTGCCCCACTGTCTCAAAAGAACGCCGGTCAAGAAGAAATCATGGATGAAATCGAGACTCTTGGGCAGTTACGATGAATCACATTGGTCAGTTTAGCTGTGAAGATGAACTCCTTAAAGGTGTACTTCCCCTGGAACGTCGCTAATAATGAATGAAAGCTGTTTGGATCAGGTCAGGTAGTGCATATCCTTGTTCAAAGGCAATTCCACTCGCATTTTCTGGGTGAACTATTTCTTTAAACAGTGTTCAGTTATAAATGACAGTTAACTGATGTTCTAAAAATGAGGAAAACGAGAAAATGAGACACGCAGAGACGATTGTGTGGTGTGTTATTTTTGGAATATTTTGTTGTTTTGCTATTTTTTTTTTGCCTTTTTTAAATAAAAAAAAAACATTTGTAGCTTGTGTCAGGTGTGTTGTTGCCTAGTGTCTTGATAAAGTAAAAATCTGGGTTTTTTTCCAGGAGTAATAGAGTAAAGAGGGCTTGAGACGTCCCAAACGCACAAGAGCATAAGATCATGAAGCAGTTCAGATGTCCGTCTTTCAGGCAAGCTTTCTGTAGTAGGGCTGAACGATTTGGGGGAAAATATCTAATTGCGATTTTTCTCACTTACGTTGCGATTGAAATGGCGATTATTTTCTATAAATTGAGGTTCAGGCCTGTTTTTGGCCAAGAAGACCAGAATATCAGCCTTTTCTGGCTTGAGGCTCGACCCCTGAATATAGTGCGCCAAACTGCCAGGAAGCTGTGGTTGTGATGTCACAACACTTGGAGGTTTAGACCAATCACAGGCTCTGTGTTACTAGGTTAAATTTCCCCACAAATATCGCAGCTTTTACGATTTGAAAATTGCACTCTTTTAAATTGTGATATATAAACGAATATATAAATGAATCGTTCAGCCCTACTCTGAAGTCTTTGATGTCCAGATCTAACGCGCTTTCAATGAATCAATCAATCAACCTTTATTTTGACTTGGAAATACATTGAGGGTGACCCTCATTTACAATGTAGCCGAGCAAATTACAAAGGATTGAAAAGGTTGAAATGAAATTTACCAACTGAAACAAAATAAAATCATCAAGACAAAAAGAAACTCAAATAGAAAACGGGCAAAAAATATCAATAAAGTATTTAATGAAAACTATAATAAGCAATCAGAAAAATGACATTTTCGAAAAATCTCTTTACTAGAACAGTAAAAGAATTAGTAGAATTCACAGTCCTCAATGAATGGGAGTGAATGGAGCTCAATGGCTAAAAACGAAAAGTTAAAATAGTTTCTAATCTCTGAACCAGAACTTTCTTTAATTTTAGAAAGTAGAAGAATGAATTTCACTAAAAAAACAAAGAAATCTCACCAGTATGTTTCCTTTTTACTACAGAAAACCGGTTTTGGGCAGCAGGAGGGGGGCATTACTGCTAGAGCGTGATGATTGGTGAGCGGAGCAGCTCATTGGCTGTTCGCGCTCACTGACGTCATTGATGTACATTGATGCCTTTTCTTTTAACCCATCTCACATTAAAGTGAAGAAGAGGAGGTATTTTATTAAAAGCACTCTTCATGTTTTTGCCATGTTTTTGTCTTTTTAACACAGAAAATGTCAGGAGTGCTGGCTTAAATCTGCTGATACAGAATGTAAGCCATTATGTGACTGATTGATTATGTAACTATGTAATTTCAATCAAGTCTAAAGCAGTAATATCTCACAGCAGGCCATAGTGTTCAGGTTTAGCGCCTGATATCGTGACGTTTTATGCATCAGAATAATCTGCACATGACTGGAGTCGGCTATGGCTTTTGGGAAAGCTGTTTGGAATACTAATTGCTCTGAAATGATTTTTCTTCCAGCAAATCAAATTTCCGGCGGATATTGGATTGGCAGCTTTTTCCGGCCAGTCCACCATTCAACTTCCCTCCAATCCACTCCGCAGTTAAATTAGACCAAATCCAGGCACCTTCAGCGCGGATAAAATTGAGCAGGCTGACATCAGTAATTCAATTCAGTGAGCTTTATTGACCCGACCGTGTTTAGGTACTGCACTGTGAAAGCTTCACTGGAACGGGAAGAACTCACATTTAGAGCATTCGACAGTTTAAGTAGTCTCAGTTTTAGGCCTCCACTACCCATAATGCATTGTGTTGTAGCAATGGCATGTGGTATGATGCTAATGTATGAAAAAAAAAAATGTACTTCAGCCATGAATCCCTCATAGTATTGTTCTGTATAGTGCTCTAATGTAGGGAACGGTGATTAGGGGACCATTTCGGTTCCCCATAATAGTGTTCTGTAGAGCTCCAGTGTAAGGTATAGTGAGAAGGGGATCATTTCAGTTCCCTATAATAGTGTTCTCTATAGTGTCAAATGTAGGGAATAGTGATTAGGGGACCTTTTCAGTTCCGTATAATAGTGTTCTATAGTGCTTCAATGTAGGGATCTCCAATGTGATTTTCCAGTGTAGTGAATAGGGTGTAGGGAACTCCTGTGTAGTTAATAGGGTGTAGGGAACTCCAGTGTAGTGAATAGGGAGTAGGGAACTCCTGTGTATGTAATGGGGTGTAGGGAATTCCAGTGTAGTGAATGGGGTGTAGGGAATTCCAGTGTAGTGAATGGGGTGTAGGGAACTCCAGTGTAGTGAATGGGGTGTAGGGAACTCCAGTGTAGTGAATAGGGTGTAGGGAATTCCAGTGTAGTGAAT